ATAATGTTGGTGTAAGCCTGTCGGGGTTATTGCCACAGAGAAGTTATTGTCCCACTGGAACAGGCTTCTGATGTGACTGTGATTTTTGCCCTGTGCTAAAGGTCCTCAGGTACAGCCACTCTGGCTGTCCTGATACATCCAATGATACTTTTTCCTCCTTCTAAATTATGGGATTCGTATTCACGGCACATTGGCCAGAAGTTTCAGTAACTGCCTTCACTACACTACAGTGGCCAAATGAACTCAGCCTGGAGCCAAGGCTGATCAATCCCAGATTTCTACCTTCCTGCCCAACAGGGACCCCCAAGTTCCCAGTTCAGAGCATTCTTCTTTCAGTGAAAAAGCATTGGATCGATGTTGCGTACGCTTCCAATTCCAAAGTGTATCCCAGGTGTGTGCTTTCTGTTCCTTGCCCTTAAGAGAGCAAGATGCCACTGTAATGCAATGATTCAGGCAGCAGCGCATGTGCAGGACAACACGCACCTATAACTCTCCATTACTGTGTGTTTCTCAAAGCTTAAACAACATTAAGCAGAGAAGTTACCAAGCAGGGGAAAATGCAATCTATTTCCATGCAGTGGGGAAAAAAAAAAAAGAAAGAAAAAAAAAAATCCCAGGAATGACGTGCTGAAATGCTCTCTGCTGTGTGCTGCCAGGGGATTTAATCAGCCGATTGCCAAAGAGATGTCAGTTCCCTGAGAGAGTGAGGACAACACGCCTTGCTGAGAAATGTACTCACAAGATTAAAATACCAGCTGCAGGATAAACCAAATATTGTCCTACAAGCAGATAAAAATTTGGGTGAGAATGAACAGTCTCCATCCTTAAAATGTGTGTCACTACACCATCACATTTTCCAAGCCTACCTATCCATATCTGCCAACTGGTCAGCTACCCCCAACAAATTCAGGTACATCTAGAGCCAGCTGGCTGAACAAGTCAAGCCGGGTGTTACCAGCCCTAGAAGCAAGCCAAGCAGGATCCCATGACCTAAAGTACCACCTATGTTACTGGAATGGCCACCATGGTCAGTGCAGTTTACACACAGACAGCAGACAAAAGGTGTTCAAGCACAGAGAGTACAGCGGCACCACAGGAGGATGGTCTGCAGTCAATACTAAAGGTCCAGGGGTGGATGCCTTGCATTAGGGTGGTGAAGAAGGAGAGAGAGAAAGAAACCAGGAGAGTGGATAAAGAAGGAAAGAGTTTAGGTGGGAATATGACAGTCAGATGTGATTGTGGAGGAGGCAACAAGGATGGAGGAGGCAGCCAGCGTGGAAGTGTGTGTTTGCCACCCTCCTGGGTCAGACGCTGCACAGAAGAGCTTGTTACAAAGGTTGTGAGAGAGCGACTGTCATGGTAACTTTGGGCTCAGCTGGCTTTCTCCCCACATTTTCTTTTCTGAGCTTGTCAGGAGCTGGTGCCCTCAGCAGGAGGCGGGAACCCAGCTGTGCTATTCCCATGCTTCTGCTCCTGGGAGGGAGGCCCCACTAACCTCCACCTACCTGCCTGCTCCAAGGCTCAGTTCCCTCCTGCAATCACTTTACATTGCTCCTGGCTTATTTACTTGCCAGTCACCCCCTGTCACCCCCTTTCCAGCTCCCAGCCCAGGCTGGCAGTGCCCCATGGCTGGTGCAGCGTGGCCACTCCGAGCCGAGATGGCACACTCTGAACAAGTTGTGTAGATGGAGGCTGCGCCAAAGCTGACCTTTCTAAAGAAATAAGCTGGTCTGGAAGAAGGCACTGGTCCTAGGGTCTCCACTGCACACAACATGTTACTTGCCAAGCCTGTCTCTGTGCATGAGCACAGTGTAAGGAGGGCACCTTTTCACCCTGTACTGCTCCTCCCGCCCCCAGCACCAGCAGCTATCCCCAGGTTTTTATTCACCACAGTCTTTAGTGGAGCCCAGCAGGTCGCTGTTATGAAATTCCAGAAGCCCTGAGCACACACATGTGGGACACAGGCATGCCTCACTAGGGAGAAACCGGCAACAGCGACCAGGGTGCTCTTCCATGGTGTAGAGAGGAGCAAGGGCAGGCAGGATAAGTAAAGGGGGGCAACAGAGAGCTGGGAAAGAAGGTGAAGAGATCAGCTGTACTCTCCAGGGGTGCACGGCCGTGTTTCTCTGACTTTGCCTCCTCCTAAGGGAAGGAGATAAGACAAATCAAGTGTCTGTGACAGATGTTAGTCACGCTGCCTCACGTGCTACTGAAGGGTGCTCGGCAGTGCGGGGTGGGAGGGGGAGCAGAAAACTCCAGGCACTGTAAAAAAAATTAACCACTTTGTCCCAGCCCTCAGCTGACAATTACCACTTTTCCTTGTCTGGTGCAGGGCATTCTGACAAGCTCTCCCAATTACCAAATCCAGACCAGCCCCCTTCTTCGAGGAGACTCTCGATCTTAATTCTTTCTAGGCAGCTTGCAGAGAGGGAGGAGGAGAGCTAAGAGCCTACAGAGAACTTGCTGGCAAAGAAAGAAGTAAGATGTCAGTGCCAGGCCAGGGTTCCTCTTCCAAGGCATAAGATTGAATACATTTGCTGCGTTGCAGAATGAGGAGAGAAATGTCACCTTCAGAGGTGATCTGACAATCACAAAAATAAATTACACAGAGGAGATAAAAAAAAAAAAAGACGAGCATTTGTGAATATTCATGAGCAAGTCAAAACCCCCAAATTAACAAGGAAATTAATTTCCAAACTGATTAGGCTGCCAACTCCTTTTATTTAAATAAATCAACAATTGCCATCATGTGACTCCTGCTGAAGAAAGCAGAGCTAATCCTGGCTCCTCCCAGGAGGAAGTTTTGTGCTGGGATGACCAATACCCCAGCACCTTCTGGGGACAGGCAGGCGCTGTGGCTGGAACCGCCTGCTTCTCAGCCGCCAGGAGATTTCCCTCTGCCCACTGCTCCGGATGCTGCGGTTTCACGATCGCCCGAGCCAATCTAACCGCTGGCTGCTATAGTTGAGCTCTCCCCGGTCCCACCCTCTTACTCATGCTGGCTCTGAAGAGCTGTTCCAGCATGCCAAGCTGGCAGAAAACCCGTGCAACAATTAAAAAAAAAAAAAAGAGAGATTTCTCTCAAGGCAGAGCACTGAAACAGATCAGCCAAACACCACAGGTGAGGAAGGTAACCTAACCTGACCTGGAAGGTGGGCCCAGTGCCAAATTAACCCTGCCAGGAGTAGCAGAATAAAATATATCATGTCTGAAAGCCTCTTTCCACATGGATTTTAAGGGTCTAAAACAGAGTAGAGCAGCAAGAGGCAGAGTGGCTTGGCTCCAGTCTGGTGTGGGGGTGAGCAGCCAGCCCAGCTCAGCCATGCCATGGAGTGCCTCTGTGATGTCTTCTCCAGGAACAGCCTCATGCCTTCTCCTGCCCCGTCCAAGGGAGTGCCTGCTGCTTCCAGCAGGGACTCCTGCTGCACAGCAACATGCCTGGCAGTGCCAGCGCACGGGACACAGCGGGAACTGCCAGCCAAAACTTAGGCGGATTTGATCTGCGAGACCAAATTCTCAATGAGTGAGAACAAGGGTGAGTTGCAGAGCTCTCTGGAATCGAGTTGTGAATGGCCACAAATAAAAACATATGAGTATTTGGGTGAGGTTACATTGAGCCTCTGACTGGTGACTGCAGGAGAAAGGTTATCCTGCTCGCCTCCACGCCTGGCCGTGCCCTCCTGTTCCCTTCGGGGAATGAGATGGTCCAGTTTGCCCAGGCGGCAGAAACCAGCTCCTGGAGGTCCTCTCTGTGGGGTCAGCGGGACAGACACGTTTAGCCGTGTTCCAGGGGAGCAGGCCGGGACCGCCCCGCACCACGACAGCCGAACTCTGGGACAAGTCCTCCGGAACAGCCCGGGACCGTCCCAGGCGCTGGCAGCCCCAGCCTTTGGAACAACCCCTTTGGAACAACCCCTGGAGCGGCCCGGCTGCCCCGGCTTATTAATTATTCATGAGTCCTCATGAATATTCACGACGGGCCGCGGCCCGCGCGCGTCACGTGACGGCGCGAGGCCGGAAGCGGCGCTGCCGGCGGGGCTCGCGGAGGGCGCGCGCCCGCCCCCCACCCGACACAGCCACTTCCGCCCTCGCGCCCGCCCGCGCCGCCCCGCGCGCCGGCGCCCTCCGCGCTTCCGGTAAGCGCGCGCGCCCGGCCCCCGCCCCGACCCCCGCCCGCGGGGACTCCCCGGTGCCCCCGCCAAGGGCCGCCCTGCCCCGCCCCGCCCCGGGCCGCCCTGCCCCGGCCGCCGCCGCCGCGCCGCCGCTCCGCTTCCACGCGAAACCGCCGATGACGCCGTTCCGCTCCGCTCGGGGACCCGGAAGCGCGGAGACGCGCCCCGCCCCCTGACCCGGAAGCGCCCCGCCGCTGCTCTTTCCGGTGAGGAGGCCGCCGCCGCCGGAGCCGGGCCGGGGCCGCTGCTGGGGCAGCCTGGTAACTGCGGGCGCGGGGCCGCGGGCGGGGGCTGGGCCGCGGGGCTTCCGGGGCCGGGGCGATCCGGAAGCGGAAATGGAGGAGGGCTGTCGGTGTGTCTGTCTGTGTGTCCCGCCGTCCGTCCCGCTGTCGGGCGCTCCGCCGCGGGGCAGCGGCGCTCTGGCCTGCCCGCCTTCGGGCGGTGCGGGGGGAGGCGGAGGTGGGTGCGGGCCCCGCGGGAGCGCCCGTCCCACACACGGCCGTGGCCAGCCCGGCCCGCGGGGCCCGCGCAGCGCCCGGGGCCGCCATGCGGGACAGCGGGGTCCCGGTAACCCAGGCGGTTTGTTCGCAGAGCCGGCCCTGCAAGGAGGAGCGATGCAAGAGGAGGGAGAGTGAGAGGGGTAAGGAGCTCCCGGAGCTGCGTGAGTGACCCTCGGCCCTGCCCCGGGGCTGCCTCCGGGAGGGACGGGAGGGGACGGCCCGCGGGTCCCGGAGGTGGGGGATTGAGGGCCTTTGAGCTCCGGGGTGCGGGAGAAGGGATTGGGCGCCTGGAGGGAGCTGGGGCGCAGGGTTTGCCCTCTGCCAGGCACCTGTTCCGGCAGGCGCTCGGCGGGTCGGGGTGGAGGCTGCGCATGTCACCAGGGAACGGCACCAAAGTTCTGTGTCTGGGGCGCGGGTTTGGGATCCTGGGCTTTGTCTCCTGCACGTTCGGGGCGTTCCTGATGTGAGTTCTAAAAGTGTAGCGGTGGTTGAACTTTTTGGCCCTCTTGAGTTCTGTGGAGGCATTTTTGCTTTTGATCTGACAGCCTGTGTGGCCTTCAGCATCCCTAGTGCTGTGCTGCAATTAAGCCTAAAAGCTCCTTGTTATTGAACAAAGATCTTGGGCAGACGTAAAACAACCTTGTAAATCGCTCCTGAGTGTCGCATTCAAGGCCTTTTGTCGACTGAAAACTCTGCTCCAAACAGAAAATAAAAGCAAAAACCAGGTATCTGGAGAATAAAGAAAGCCGTGTTAAAAGTCAACCTCTAAATAAATACCTGCATATACAACCTTGATTGTGCCTTCCAGAAACACAGCCTCTGCCTCACCACGTACTTGCACGTGCTTTAATCTGTCTGTTTGTGATTAAAGTGATGACCTGCCAAGACGTATAAATCCAGCAGGTTAAGTATGTGATTCTGTGAAGCGCTCTGTGAGATCTAAACTCCAGATCCCTTGTCCCTTGTGAGTTCTCTGGTTCACTGGGTTGTTTGTTTGGTGTTTGTGCATTTGTGGTCTGTACATAGAAAGTGTTTTTGGTTTGTATCAGGAGGGTACGTTGACATCTGTCTGATACTAGACTGGTGAATAGGAAGAAGGTCCCATCTCTGGCCTGTTTGTGGAAGCTGGGATGATGAAGGCACTGCAGTGGGAACGTGCTGTGGTACAGGGTTGAAGCTCCAGCCCATGTCTGGTAGTTATAGAGCAATTGGAAGGGTTACGTGCAGAGTTCTGGTAAAGTAAGTGTGAGCAGCGTCCAAGTGGGGGCTGCAAATAGGGGTGCATGTTTTCAAAATATCCCTCAGCCTGAAAGCGGGGTAGGGGAGGGACAGCTGTGGGCATGAGGACAGTAGTTTGGTGGAGGAATCTTACCTTTGTTTCCTGCCTTTGGAAGACTGGCTTGCTAGTGAAATTGCATGAAAGCTTCAACTCTTACACCATTTCTCCTTTTCCTCCACATTCCTATAACTCCAACACACTTCAACCCTTCCAGCCAAAGATTTTGAGGCCTGAGCGTGAAGATTTTTGGATGGGGAGTTGTACCCTAAGACAGTTTGAGAAAAACAGTGTAGCCATCCTTTGAAGAATCAGTAAGAGCCTTATTTTGATTTGCACACACTGTAAGCTGAGCAAACAAAAGTTAGATGCTCTGTGAAGTTCTGGTGGGGGGACTAGATGAAGACAAGTGGCCACTGAGTGCCCTTGCCTTTGCTAGTCTGCATTTTGGAATCTGGAAAGGACTTGCCTTTCATTCCTTGTACTCTTTAAATAAGAAAGCTGCTGTGAGACTTTTGCTTAAATTGGCATCTTTCTGTTTAACTCCTGAAGTTTGCAGTTGAGTCCAAAGGAGTCTCGGAGAACAACAAGGTTTTTTGGAAAATGCATCTAATTATTATACAAGACTTTATGTTTTTAGAGAATCAGGTTCACTTTGATGTTTTTGATGTGGAAGCTAAGAAAATAAGGACTTACTTATTTTAAAAACAAAACCAAAACCAAGCAAAAACCCCAAACTTGGAAATTCCAAACAAAATACCCTTCTTGATTCAGGTGGTACTCAGTTGCCAAGAATGTGTTCTCTTCATGTGTGCCCATCCCATGGAAGAAAAAGGTCATGTAATTAAGCATTACGTGCACAGGGCCTTGCTGTGGGCAGTGTACTTAATAATTAATTAGCCTCAGAAAAGAAAGCAGAGGAAGGAAGGTAAGAGTGTTGCCCCATCAGACTCTGACTGAATCACAGCAGTGTAAATCTGGAGTAATTCAGTCAGGCAGTGAGCGCTCCAACTGCATGCCACTGACGTAAGGTAAATAATTTATCCTCAGTGTGTTTATTGGTTGATTTGCACTGAGTGAGTGAGACAGGAATACTTGGCCTTGCTGTTGCATGAGCAATTCATAAAAACCAAATTATTGGGTAATTTGGTTCATTTAAATACTGCTTCTCTGCATAGAGGAAAATTATCTTTGCATTTTTGGCTCCACGCAGCAATTCCACTTGTATTTATTCTGCCCTGATGTGCTTCTGTGAAGTAAGTGTTTCATGCTACTCAGGGCATGCCTCTGAGCTTCCCTGGTGGTTGAGACAGGCCATTCAGAAACAATATTGGTTCATTAATTAGGCTGTAACAGCAATAGGAGTGGGACAGTTTGCAGGCAGCTGCGTGACAAACCTACAGCAGTTGCTTTCTCTGACAGATGTACTCTGAGCATAGTTTTTACCACGTGTATTTTACCCCCCAGTTTTGTCGTATTTGTTCAGGAATAGGTGTATCTTCTGCTTCAGGAAATATTCTTTTGTTAATTTCTTTAGTTTTTGAATATTGTTTTGGCAAGTGTAACAAAGTTTGTCCACTAATAGTTATTACACAGAGAATATAAGGATTAGAAAGGAAAGTGCTTCTTCAGTCAGGTGTTCCTAAAGAGGTTACACCTCTGTGTTCAGGAGACTCTCTTTTGATGTCTAACTGGTCCTCTCAATGCATGGAGAGTTGAGGTGGAGCAGTGGGCACTTGGCTGGGGACAGAGTCCTACAGAATCTTGTCCCAAATGTGGGAATGAAGTGGGCAACAGAGAGCCATGACATGATCTCGCTTGGAAATAGGGTATCTCAGGAGCAGGGAAGTCAAGTTGTTTTCCCACTGCCTTGTCTCATTGGATGAGAGCAGGGATGTTGAGTGATATTTCTGTCTTTCTTTCAAGAGTGGGGCTGGAGTGAGCAGCAGGAAGTGAGGAGCCCCAAGTTTTTGATTTCTTGGTCTGCTGTGGCTGTCTGTTACCTTGGGCAAGTCTGTTTCCCTCTCTATGCCTGTCTTTCTTCCTATGTAACATAATGCTAATGTCCCTCTGCTGCATCTGGGTCCCTAGTGTTGAGCTGGGGTGGAGGGACTGGCAAGGTCCAAAATTTTCACTGCTTGTGGGATCAGACAGTCTGTGACAGTGAAAAATGAGTTTTCATCTGTATTTGCCTGGTTGCAGATGCACAGAGTTCATTTATGCCATCTACTTGGGTGGATGATAATTGGGGAAATTTGGAGGTGTTCTGGGTTTGTAGTCAGTCCTTATTTTGCATGGAGGACTACTGGGCAAGAGGCATTTGAGATGGACCCAAGCCTATGGGAATAGCAGATACCTTTTCCCCCTGTAAATAATTTTTTGATTTGGGCAGATAGATAGCTCAAAAAGGGGGAGAGGCTGCTCAAGAATGACAGGGGAAATTAAGGAACTGTCGCAGCATTAGACTGAGTCAGTTCCATGTTGGAGTCTCTCTGGGTTTAATGGGTTTTTTTGTGTCTGTCTGTCTATCTGTCTTCCTTATTATCCTCCATTCCTCTTCCCTTCCCCCTTCCTCTTTCCCCCTGTGCCCAGCTAGGATGGAAGAATCTCATTTCAACTCCTCCCCGTACTTCTGGCCAGCGGTGCCCACTGTCTCAGGACAGGTAAGATCTTCCAGCCTATTATGTTGGTCTTGTTTCCCATTAAAAGTCCATGTATAAGTGTTTCTGTTGCATTTCTTGCTCAGCCAAATGCTGGGTGAAGCTGTGCCAGGGTATCCTAAAATCTGTCCCTCCCGCCCGTTTAGATTGAGAACACCATGTTTATTAACAAGATGAAGGAGCAGCTATTGCCCACAGAGAAGGGCTGCAGCCTGGCTCCCCCCCACTACCCCGCCTTGCTGACAGTGCCCACCTCTGTGGCCCTGCCCACCGGCATCTCCATGGACTCGGACACCAAGCCGGAGCAGCTGACACCACACAGCCAAGCCCCTGTGACTCAGAACATCACCGTGGTACCAGTGCAGTCTGCGGGGCTCATGACAGCAGGTAGGGCACTCCAAAGTCTCCGGCAGCATACGGAGGAGGCTCTGGAGTCGGGAAACAGGAGGGCCTGGAGAATCCTTTTTGGGCTGTAGATTATTCTTAGCCTTACTGATGGTGTGGATTGCTGGGGTGTGATTTCACTGTGAGTCCTCTATGGAAGTTTGACTTCCAGCAGTGGAGACTAGGAATGCACTGGGAGGGGAGGCTACCCTCCTGTTTGTGTTGTAGTCAGAAGTAGGTGCTTCTGCGGCATAAGGAGGTTGGGCATAATTGGAGATGTAATAACTGACTTCCTCTGTCTTCCTTTGTTTGCAGGTCCTGGTCTGGTGATAACTTCCCCGTCAGGTTCCCTGGTGACCACAGCCGCCTCTGCCCAAACCTTTCCCATCTCAGCTCCCATGATTGTCTCTGCACTACCCCCTGGCTCCCAGGCAGCCCTCCAGGTGGTTCCAGATCTGTCCAAGAAAGGGACAACCACCCTCACTGAAGGTGGTGGGGGTGGCGGGGGTGGGGGAGTTGCCCCCAAACCACCCCGGGGCCGGAAGAAGAAACGATTGCAGGAGTCGGGGCTGCCAGAGATGAGCGACCCCTTTGTGCTGACAAATGAGGATGATGAGGACCAGCACAAGGATGGCAAGACATACAGGTGGGGAGCGGGGTTAAACCTTGGCTGCAACACTGCATGGGGATGGGGGTAACCCTTCAGAGGGTTACATGGGGAGGAAGAGATCTCTGCCTTTTTCCTAGAGAGTCCCTGAATAGAGAATCTTTGAGTTGCAGAAAGAGTTGAGTTTTCTTTCTAGTCAGAAATGTTTGCAAGCTGGTGGGTCAGCCCAAAACTAGGGATCTCCTTAGTGGATATATATAGTCATTAATGTTCCTAGGTTAGTTAATGACCAGGATGCTATGGAAGCTAAACTGTATCCTTGATGCCACAGCCAGGTAGTAAGGCTGGTGTACTGCAGAGTGCAGTGCTGTCTGGTGTAGCTGAGAGCCCCAGTGTACCTGGGTGCTCCTCAATTAGGACTCCAGTCTGTCCAGTGTAAAGACTACAGACTGGAGGCACACAGAGCGAGAAGTGAACTGTGGTGCGTGTTTGCCCCTGTATGCATTGCTCCACGTGATCTCCTCCTATTTCAGCATTCTAAACGAAACAGGGGGGGAAAAGTGCATCTTTTAATTAGGTGTGAGGGTGTTTCTGAACCCTGAGTGCACTGGATAAGAGGGAGGAGAGTTCTGAGCCCTGAGGTTGGGTTTCTGAGCTTGGAGGGATGTGGATTGAGTTTATGAGTGATGGGAAGGGCAGTGATTATCTAGGAGGGACTTAAGGCAGAGGATAAGGAGTATGGGTGTTTTAGAGAAGGTGGGAACCATACAGAGCAGACAAGTGGTAGGAGGAAATGTGATGGTCTGTGTTAGATGGGAAGCACTTATGTGATTCAAAGATAGGTGATTCTGACAGTTGATTAAGATAAATAAGAGGCGAAGTAATAGCCAAATGGAAGCAGAAATAGGAGATGGTCCTAGGTCTTCTCACTTGTCTGCAATGTGCCCAAGATCCTGTCTCAAACAGCTTCCCTTTTACCATCTTAGACCTTTTTTTTTTTTTTTTGAACAGATTTAGTTATGTTTCTGGAATTAAGCCATATCAATATGAAGTCATCTACACAGAATCAGTGCATCCACCTCAGGCACTGTTTCACTTTTAATTATAGCATTTTTAAAATGTTTACTTTTTTTAATCAATGCAGTTAGTTAAATGGGTACAAAACCAGAGCTTGGATCAGCCTTTTTATTCTCTTACCCAATGTCCCAGTTCTTCCACTTTGAAAGTATAAGCAGCGTATGGTGAAGAGGGGTGGGAGTGTTAGGTAGCTTGCTATTTGTAATCCCACCATTTATTTTGGGCCATAGCCACAGTTCCACACTTCTCAAGCTGCTTACAGTCTGGGTTGCTAATTAGGTTGTTAAATATGTATTTACAGGGGACACAATTGGCAGTGAACACTAGAATTAAAGCTGAACCAAGGCTTTAATTATAGCTCCTTGTTTACTTGTAAGTTTGGGGAAAAAAATGCCCAAGACCAGGTGGAGTGACTCAGCAGAAACTTTATGAACACGCATAGTCTGTTTAACAGCTCATGGAATAGAATTTGCAGAGAAAAAATGAATGAGTTTATATGTAGGAACATGTAATCAGGAAGATCTCCTGTCATTATGTTTAGTCCGAGTGTGGTACCACTGCCTCTTCCTCCAGCCCCCATCCCAAGCAGCTCTCCTCTGAGCAGTGCTAAGGTGTGGGATAGCTAAATTGGCATTTATTAAAGACCACTAAGGAGTACTTCTGCCTTCCTTGGGGTTTCCTCATTGGCTGATGCTTTCTGTGTGCAAGTTTGGAACTAAAAATGCTTGTTGAAAAAATAAAGGAAAACGCTATCTTTTCTTGGAGCTGTGGGAGAGAAAAGCTTTGTGAAATACAGTAAAGTTGTTGCTCCATAATATGCATATGAATAGACTCGCAAGTTAAGACTTTGAGGACTGCTGGGTTCTTTCTGTATTCTAGAGGATGATTTCAGTAGTTCCCGTCACTACAGAATGCAGACATATCCCAGCTAAATTAAGACTGTGGGTGAGGTTCATCTACTCCTGTTCTCTTCTCAGGCTGGTGGAGGAGTTGCTTGTGGTATTCATATGACTACATTTGTATGATTTCACTGATTTTCTGTGATGAGACAGTGAGAATAATCTATTCAGATGCCAGGAAGGAGTTGTACTATATTGATCAATGTGACTTTTTTTTAATACCCAATTCCTAAAGCCAGAGATTATTTTGTCAAATTTAATTATTTTTTTATTTTAAGTGTTCTTTTTGAGATCTGTCTGTGAGATCTCTTGTCTTGAGTGTCTGGGCATGTGGCTAATATCCATAATTCCTGACTCCCACTGTGGTGATAAAGACAGAGTAAGGCCTTGAGTGGGAAGCACAGCCAGGCAGATGTGAAAGGGATTGGAGCACAAACCTTGATATATTGCAGCTCATCCCATTCTCTACTAAATGTAGAGATTCCTGCTCCAGCAAATGGCATCTGTTTTGCTGCTGTATCATCCCTAGAAGTGAATTAGTAGGCTGCTGTGAAAGCTGTGCAAGAATCTTTGTGATTAGGTCTTTCTTTTTAAGAAAAGGCGTGAGGTTTTTGCTAATGATGGCGTTGGTTGCAGATCTTGGACACCTAGCCTTAGGATTAGTCTGGCAGAGTCCTTGGTGCTTTGCTTCATGCTATTAGAAGAGTCTTTGCACCTGCAGGGGACAGCATCTAACCCAGTCCTGTGAAGCATTTGCTGTCATGAGTAATGTTACTTCAGTCTTGTCTGTATTTGTTGTCAGCTCTTTGTTAATCTTCCCTGGCATCTTTGTAGAATTAACGTTTTCTGTGAAAAATGAGATCAGCATCTAGATTCTTTCTAGTAAGATGTGAAGTGTGAAGCACATGGCTGTTTCTCAGTGCTGAGGAAAAGAGAGCAAACAGGTCCTGGATACAGTAGTATTGTTTCTTAGTATTGTTGTGGTGCCTGTACCTCTGTGCTTTTAAAAGTCTGTGCTGTGATGTCATCAGTGAACAAGACTGATGAAGTGGTTCAGCCTCTCTGGGCCAGATTGTAAATTCTGCTTCTCTGACAGTTTTCTAAATAGTTTCTTCTTTGCAAGAGAAAAGAGCTCTCTATAGGTTGTTTGGTTCCAGTATTATATTTGTAAAATCTAGGACAAATACCAGTTTATCATCTGGAATGGTTTTGCAAGCTGTGCTTTGGAGCCTCAGATACCAACAGAAAGGCTGTAGGCTTGGGAGGGGCCTCGCCATCATAGTGTGATTGACAAGCTCTCTCTTACCCACCTCAAGTTCTGAGTTTCCCTACTTTCACTGGGAAGCAGCAGGGGATTTGGGAGACAATAAGCAACTGAGGGACATAAGAAACCTCTGAGATGAGTTCAAGGTGCAAAAGTGTACAGAAGCCTTAGCAAGCTGAGCTGTAGAAGGTGATGAAGCTGGATGAAGGCCCTCATTAGTGAGAAAATTAGGTACACCGAGGTGCCAGTGGTTTGAATCCAGCAGGTGGGCATATTCTCATACATGTCTCATTTAAAGCCTTTTTTTTCTGCATTTAGCATGGCTATTTGGTGAATTTCCCATGGTTTTGAACAGATTTTGAAATCTGGCTTTTGTAAGCCGTGTATGTCTGTGAGAATATTGTAGAATTTGCCCATTTGTAAGCTTGGAAAAAAATCTGTTAAGCATGCTCTGAGATGCTTTATAGTTTTGTGGTTGAAGTATGTGAAGGTTTTATCTTCTTTGACGCTTCTTGAGGCTTGCATGGCTCCAGGCACTGACCAGACTTCCATCTCCACAGAAAAGATAAATACACTAACTTCTCTCAGTTACTGTGCAAGGCTGGGCTATGTGTGTGCTCTCTCCGGAGCCATAGGCATCTTCTAGGCTAGCACTGAAGCATGCTTTCCCTTCAGTCACGACTGCTGCTTCAGTCTTTAGTACCCAGTGTGGACAGCAATCTCCCCCCTCTGGTGGGCACAAAGTCAAGGTGTGAGAAGACACCACTTGGTTGAAGTGTAGTAGGGATGAGGATGAGATGTGTGCGGGGACTGGGGCTGTTTGTGTTGAGGAGGTCTGGAAACTTGGTAGATAAGAGATGGGAAATGGAAAGGAGGAGAGAGAAAAGACAAGAGCCTAAAAACTAGGGAGTGCAGCACAGGATGGGGAGCCTCTTTGCCAGGGAGAAATGGGGGAGGTAGCACAGGGATAGAGCTATGAAGGGCCAAGACTAGGGGGAGGAAGAAAGACTCAGATCTGCTAGGTGCTGGAAAACGAGGATATACCTAGAACTCGCAGAACACAGGGACAAGAGTATGGGATATGAGCAGACAAATAGAAGCATGGGGGAGAGGAGACAAATGTTAAGTAATTGAAGGAATGAAGTAGGGAAGAGCCTCTGCAGTAAAAGATAAAGAGGCTGGCGCATGTGGGTAAAAAGTTTGGGCCTGGGTCTTGGTGTGGGAGAGAGGGGATCCCTACAGGCTAGAAGGCTAAGGGCAAAGGGGGAATTAAGTTTGGAATGTCAGGCAGAAAGTTTGACCACATTCCCTCCAAAGCCCAGAAATACTAAACCCAGTGTTTCTAAATTTTGCCATGTCTTTGAGGTCAACACAAGAATATGACCTCCTCTGGCAAAGAACCTCATCTCCCTCTAAGGCTAGAAAAAGGTGACAAAGTATCGTTGCTGTCATTTATCATCCTAGCTGCAGTGGCAGAGGTCTGGTCTGTGCAGTGGATCTTAAGATTGCTGATGACCAACATGGGTGTCAGTATGATGCCACATGTTGGAATTTCTGTTTGCTTTTTTTAACAAGTAGTTCCGTGAGCAGCGGAACTAATGAAGCCTGGTTTCCAGCGGCTCTCTCCTGTGTGGATTCTCTGATGTCTAATCAAGGGTGAGCTTACTAGCCTTTCCCTCAGCAGAGGGCTCCAAGAGAGTCTCTCTTCTTTCCCCAGATGCATATTTTTGAGACTTGTGTTAACTTTTAAGATCCTTACCCTTTTTCCAGATTGGTTGAAATTGGCTTATGATCTCAAAACTCTTAAGGAGGACAGGTGCACATACACATCTACAGGTACACACACAGTTTGTACACATGAGCTTTGTTTTGTGTATGAATACAGCGGTTGGAGGTTAGAAAATGGCAGAATTAGACTGTCCACATGCCTCAGGATATATAATAAGGTAAAAAACTTGAGTTATGGTAAGTTCCCTCCCTTCTGCTGAGATATTGTAACTGTGCATGTGTGCATGCATGTAGGTGCTCTCACTTGGCAGTTTATCATAGTGCCAAGCGGAAAGAATTAATAGGAAAGGTTCTACAGTCATGAATTTGGATTTTGGCAGGTTACTTGCCTGTCAATGGAATGAGTGTGTGGAAGGGATGTGAGGGGGACAATTGCAGTTTCAACTGGGGAGAGAGAACTTTGAAACTACTTCGTTGCACATCTTATCTGATCACACCTTAATTTGGCCCTATTGAGTCAATGCACCTTGAGACCATCCTTGATTATTTATTGGTAGATGATGGCCTGTCAGAGTCCTGCATGTTTACTCAGATAACATGAAAGGAATGTTCTATTAAAAGAAAACAAAATGCGTTGACATGGCACTGTGGAATTGAGAAGGATGATTTTGGAAAGCATTTGACTGCTGATATAAAGAACTATAGATTATGCCTGCCTCTGCCTCAGACTGCTGTGGTATCCTATAGTCATGTGGTTCAAGTCTGCAGATAATCTTGCCTTGAAGTGTGTGCAAATATGAGTTAGGTCTAGTCTTCAGTGCATTTGTGTTTGTCACAGGCTACAAGTGACCACAGACAGTTATCCTGAAATAATTAACATTTGGCCTTCCTAGAACTGTACTCTCAAGTATCACTGAATACTCCTCTGTTACAGGTCAGACCCTGTTTTGCTTTGCAAAAGTGTTGCATCTCATAACTGTAGCATAGACACTTAAGTGAGCTGTGATATGAATTTATATAATATGAATTTTCCTTTAAAGGAAAAAAGTGCTCACAGGTATTGGTTTGGCCACTTGAAATTAGTGGATATGTCTCTTTTACTGTGTTTCATTCCCTTTGCTTACAAAAAATGAAACAGGGACATTGTGGGTAAAGATGAGTGTTTATGGAGCACTGGTATTCCCGTGATGGGTACAACAGATGAGTGATTCTGCTTCATGAGGTTGGAATTGCATGTGGTCGACAAGGCTCGAGGCTGTTCAGAGGATGGTGATAGAAAACAGTGAATGCTTGTCTGTTAAGTATCTGTCTTAGCAACATAATAAGGATGCAGTTCTGTGGAAACAGTCAATAAGGCTGTATCAGAATGCACCTGCAATGCAGAGCCAAATTATGGTGACATGGATGAACTTAATCCTGGTATTTCCAAATTTGCTAAAGTGCTTTCTAATGGGCCTTTTGTATTTGTTTAATTTTAGCTTTTTAATTTTAGCTATATCAAGAAATACCTTATTGTGTTTTATTGTTTTGTTGGGCTTTTATGGTAACGGTGACTGATTTCAAAAATTGGTAGACAGTGTCTTAGGCCTGATATTCAATGATTTGGAGGTCAACTGAAAGTTATGGTTAATAAAGATAAGAGCAATTCTGGTGGATAGCTAAAAAAAAGGGGATCTTTATGTGGTTGTTAAACCAGAATTATTCAGGCAAAATGTATTTTAATGCAGCCCAGTGGAAGACAGCGTTTTGGGTAATACTGAGTGACTTTTCCAGCAGTCAGGGATTGAGGTGCAGGTATTTGGACACAGTGGAAAACATTATCAGACAGAAGTGTCCTGTTGGATACTACTGAATGTCTTTGATCTAAAGACAAGGAATATGGAGGAACAGTATCCTGGAATGCACTGACTGTGAAAAAAAAACTTTTAGGAAGTAAGTGAAATCATGAAAGCTCCCAGTGCGAAACTGTGACAGAAAAGGGTAAGTGGAACTGTTGGAAGCATAAATGATGGAGTCATTAAAAGAAGGCAGGCAACTTGTGAAGTATGTTGAAATACCACAAAATTCTGGGTCTGGCATTTTTAAGGTCATTTGGAAAATGGACAAAATGCAGGAATGCCTTCAAATCTGAGAACTGGGAAAGTGCCATATTATGAGAGCATGTAAAAACACTCACTGCCTTGCCAGGCGAGTGTGTGCTTTTCTACAGCCTTATCAAGCCACCAGGTGACCGAAGGACTGTGGAAATAAGTTAACTGAGATTTCTGAGCCTGGCTGATAGATTTGATACACATGCCAGTAGTGTAAATTGTTACGTGGAGGTGCAGCATTGCCTCTGGAATAGCAGCTGATGCTTGTTGTGCCAGTATGGAAGCAGAGGTACAGTTGAAATGCTTTCATTTGGCATCATCGTACTCACTGACGTTATTCAGGTGTTACCCAAGTTTTCTAGCTGTGTAGCTTGAATGTTATTTTTGTCTCCTTTCCCTCGCCTCTTACAAAATATTAACAAGAAAATGTTTAACTTCAGCTTTAAAAATAATCAGGGGAATGCGAGGGTTAAGTTAGCATTTATCATGAACTGTGCATCCATTATTATGCTATGCTTGCATTAGTTACTTCATTAACTCTGCATTGCAAAGGCAGTACATTTGTTTCCTTGCTAAATGAACTGCTGACTCTGACAGCCTAAACTTACTCTTATCATCTAGTTTAACTTCAGACCTTCCTGTTTTGATTTTTATTTTAACTTGTGGCCTAGCTTGTATTTGTAGCCTAACAGAAGGAGCAAAGACTCAATTAAATTTGTAAGACTAATCTCAGTAGATACTAAGAATCTGAACTCTCAGAGCTATGTAAAAGCTTACATAGTTTTCACAACTGTGATACTAATTAATTAAGCACTTGATTGAAAAAGGCTGTTAATCCATGTCAGGCAAATTTTACTATGAGCTGGTATTTCAGACGGTATTTTATCTCCTAACAGCATCGGATGAATGAGGCAGAACATTCCATGAAAAGTGGAAAAAAATACAGTGCTGTGTGCCACAGAGTTGTAGTCTAGTTGCCATAAGCATCATTTTGTTTATGACTCATCATGATGACTTTCATATGGGAGCAGAACTAGAATTGTACATCCACCTTTTACTGGCATTTCATGATTTTTGAGGGTGTTTCTGTCTAACATGAACATTCTCTGAAGAATGTCTCCCTGTATTTCCCTGCAGATTCCCTATTAAAAGAAAGCATTATAAACATTGAAAGGGGTTACTTTTGATCTCTGGCATATGGCTGAATGCTAATCTAACTATTGATATGAGCCTCTGTATTATTAAGGATATTTTTTCAAGGCGGTCTGAATTTGCAGAGCCATAACAGGCAGCTGCAGGGATGTTGTGTCACACTGTCGATGGGAATGCTGCAGTCATTTCTGCTAGTTGCTCTCAGAAAGAATACAGTGAAAGGAGGGGTAGTTTAGAAGCACAGTGGGGAGACAATATTAAAAATGGATATTAAACGGATGGGGGGGAAATCAATTATTTCATGTAGTGCTTCATTCATGCTTAGCAAGGAGCACTCCCTACTTTTCCTCTCTCCAGCCAGGAGAATTTCACTGAAGTAGAATATTGAAGTACTGCTAGTATCAGATTGGATGTTCTCATTGTCCATATAGATTAAACATTTTTTTGAATCCATATTTGCCCACTAGAGGGCTGATTGCATCTTCCCCTTTAATATTTGATGTTGTCTGAGGCAGAATGCAAAGGCCTTAATTAAATGGATCATTTGTTCCCTTGAAAAAACCTGATACCACACAATATAAAAGTCTGAAATAGAGCTTTCTGCTATATTCCATGGCTTGTTTTAACTCATAAGGCTCATGAATTTGTTAATGCTACATAACACATTCTTGCTCTCTCAGGGTTGATGCTAATTAGATGATTAGAAAATGAGTCCTTGCAAGATTTTCTTTTTAAATGTTGTTTGAAAAACAGTATCAGAATGTCTGTTGCTGTTAAATTCAGACATGGCTTTGTTTGTTTGTTTGTTTGTTTCAGGGTTTGTTTTGGTGTTTTGGAGTTGCTTTTTTTAGGGATGTTTTTGCTAGCAGGTTTATCATTTTTATGCAAGTGCTGGTGAGGTTTTGAAACACCTTCTTCATAATTTTATTTTGAAAATAGAAAAGGATGTTTCATTAAACTTTATTTTATGGAATTTATGTCCTGAAGGCAGGTACCTGACAAGGCAAATAAGTAAGGGATGTGCAGAAGTTATGGGAAAAAAAGTAGATGGCTTTATGGCACTACAGATTTAATGCATGGGACTGCTTAGACTTGATGAAATGGTAAAGTTCATGAATTTTTCAGATCAGAATAGACTATTTAAAATATAGAGTCATGTGCCCAGCACAGAAGAGATTAGTGACCAACATTCTATTTAAACTAGAGCAAAACCTTTAGAAGGGCATTTCTCTTAGAAAGGTAGCTGGATTCTCATAATACTGATTGTAAGGGCCAAGTCATTGAGACCATGCTGTAGCCTCCGAGCGTTGTTCCGAAGATGCATTATTCTCGTGGTTGGGAAAAGCCTATTTCCTCTTAGGTTTTTCACTTCTATTGTCAGTTATTGTTTCTCATAATACCTTTCCTTGCTCATAAAACAAGCCTCTGGTAATTGATATTTTTCTCCTTCAATAGATTTATTTGGGTATTGACCAAGTTATCTTTTAAGCTTTACTCCAAACCTAGACAGGAGTTGGTGAATCTTTCCTGCAAAGCCCATTTTCCACATACCATCATTCTTTCCACGTGTTCATCACTGCTGAGCCTTGTCTGAGTTTTTCGGTAATTGTTGATGACATGGACTTCAGAATTAGGCATGCTGTTGCACGAATAGTCGCTCCACTCCTGTTTACAAAAATGATACCTGCTATTTCCCTTCATTTGGGGGACCATATTAGCACAGCATCGCACTGGGAGCTTGTTCTCAGTTGAATGGTTCCTTATCAGAGGAATGATGTTGTGGAACGGGATTCAGTTGAGAGTAATGGAAGTTAGCGTCTGCTGAGAAGGAGCTTGATAAAAGTCATGCAGGGGATTATGCTGTAATTGCTCGCATTAGCAGCGAACTGGACTTGGTGACTCAAAGGTAATTTTCAGTTCAGTATTCACCTCAAAGTTCTTTCTAATGTTGCTGCTTTCAAGGATACACAGTCCTCATCCCTGTAAGTACGACTTCATAACTGCAAAATACATATGCTGTATTCAAGCGTAGCATTTCAGGAAGTCTAGAACAAACTGCGCAAGTGTTTGATCTATAAACCAAGAGCTACATTTTTAAAAAGATCATTCTGATGTTCCTTTTAACTCCTTGTATCTCAGAGATGTAGGGATAAACAGCCAAATTGCTTCTGTTTGTTGATTTCAGGAGGGATTGGTGTGTGTGAGGAGGGATTTATGTAAGGACGTATTTAGCTTGCGTGTTCTGTTAGGGTTTGCAATTAAAACGGATTACGAGAAAGATGAAGGTAGGACATGTGAGAACAACGGTTAGAGATGATAATGAATGTAAAAGAGCAGTGGTGGAGAGGAAGGAAATATTACAGCAGGTGTGTGTCGGAGTGCTTGCTAGGGAGGCATGGCTTCCAGCTACATGGCTTGAAATCAAGCTGTGGCTTGGAAGGGCCTGTGGAAGTTGAGGTAGGTGCTGGATAAGTACTGCCTACGTTACATGCACTAATCAGACTGCACACTTCATAAAGCTTCTGGTTCCAACATAAATAGTCACAACAGTAGATGTAATGAAGTATCCTCCTTCAAGGATATGGATATGGGAAGAGCAGGACCAGCTCTCTGTGGCTTGTAATACCTGCAGAGACTTTTGTGACTGAGCAGTTTTGTAAATACTTGTAAAAGCAGAGGAAATTCCCAGACAAAAACAACTTGAAGGTTGAATTCATGTTAACCAGACTTCATCTGCGTGGCATTTCTTTTCTCAAAAGAGACCCTGGAAGTTAGATGTGCAGGTTCAATTTTTGTCTTTAATTGAAAAGTCTGCAAATGGAAAACCCAGGTTCAGATAAACCTTAACTGTGCCCCTTGGTTGACACAGATTTAGTAGGGGACTTAAAAAAAAAGTCCAATAACTTGGATGCAGCTTCTATCTCTCTGTCAAATTATCAAGCACAAAAGCTTTTAGCATCTTGAATTGTAAAACAGTGCGAGCTTCTCTCAACAGCCTGGTGTCGTGGTGGAGAACAGTTTTTAACAGCAGCATCCATAGCAGAGAGATGCCAACTGCTTCTTCCTGTTCAAAGAGTCTGTGTTTTTACCAAATACGTTTCTGATCATAATGGGAACAGATGGATCCAAACTCCCAGGCAAAACATTTTGCATCACATCAGTAAGACTGAAATGATGAAAGCCCATTAGACCAATGAAATACCACATTTGGTATCCAGAGTATCTTTGTGACATCGACTAGGAAAGCAGCACTGTTGTTATTCTAAGCATTTTGTATTTTAAATTCTCCAGTGTCTTCTCCAAAAATGGGAACAGAGTTAAGTGGGTTTGGTCATAACTGCTTTTAGTGGACTTTGCAGTATATGGAATTAACTTCTGTTATCAAGATGAGCCTTAATCTGGGATTTCCAGGTTTTCCAAGCTTTTTTTTGAGTGAAATAAATCGCAGATGAACAAAGTGGGGTTTTTGTCCAGGAATTATTCCTGTCCCCTTAGGATTGCTATTGGAAAATTTCCAAAGTGGTGCCCTGTCTCTCTTGCAAGCCTAATAAATTGGCCTCTTGGTTTTTTCCAAGACCTTTACTTGTATGGCTGCAAGGTATCATGCAGTCTGTTCTGCCAGTCCCTAGCTTAAATTTGTCCCCTTGGAGTACTTGCAGCTGAGCAGTGTCCCAGGTGAAACCTCCCCAGAACCACATAATGAGAAAATATCCCTTCTTCACTCATTTGGAAGATCCCATCCAGTTAGAGTTGATCCATATTGGGGCTTACCCCCGTGTGACACTGTCTCTTCCCCTCGCCCCGGTCCCAGGTGCCGGATGTGTTCGCTGACCTTCTACTCCAAGTCGGAGATGCAGATCCACTCCAAGTCCCATACGGAGACAAAGCCACACAAGTGTCCTCACTGCTCCAAGAGCTTCGCCAACAGCTCCTACCTGGCCCAGCACATTCGCATCCATTCAGGGGCCAAGCCCTACACGTGCAGCTACTGCCAGAAGGCCTTCCGCCAGCTCTCCCACCTGCAGCAGCACACACGGTAAGGGCCAGAGGAGGCTGGGGGCCCTCTGCACTGCATGTTGCTGTCATCCCAGCATGCTGTGAGCACCCTCAGTGGGCGACTGCCTGGGGAGACCTTGCTGGTTTTCACAGGCCGGTCAGGTCTTGTACATGACAAATCAGCAGTAGCGGTATCTGATGCGTGAGACTTGGCCCTGGTTGTGAGGGGCTGGATGTGCTCAGAGGCTGGCCCTGCTCAGCCTGAGGGGCATCTGCAGTGGAGTGACACTTTCTGACAGGAGGCAGGGCCGGTTGTGTCAGAGTGAGGGTAATGTTGGCATAGGAGGACTGTTCCCTGTCACCCCATCATAGTTCTGCCAAACATCTCAAGTCCAGGCTTGCAACCCCCGTGCTATTTCAGCTGTAGGCTTTCCACACACAGGTCTGCCAATGCCCCTCAGTCCAAACTCTATGGTTCCTCTCTCTGAATCCTCCCCCGGTGCGGACAGACCATGGTCTCTTGAATCCAAGGGGAGCACGGTTTGAGACCAAGCGAGCTCATGCCGTGTTTGGAGTTCCTCTGTGTAGCAGATAGCGTGGTGCTGTCCCACCCCCTTTGTGCCCTCATTCCATCAGCACTAGCCAGATGGCGGTCATGTCCAACTGCTGCTGCTCCTCCTCCTCTTCGGCAGGATCCACTCCAAGCTCCACACGGCGATTGTCAAGCCGCACAAGTGTCCTCACTGCTCCAAGAGCTTCGCCAACACATCCTACCTGGCCCAGCACCTCCGCATCCACTCGGGGGCCAAGCCCTACACCTGCCGCTACTGCCAGAAGGCCTTCCGCCAGCTCTCCCACCTGCAGCAGCACACACGGTAAGGGCCAGAGGAGGCTGGGGGCTGGCCCTGGCCCCCCGCGCTGCCGGCATGCACCTGTGGAGCACGCGCGCCAAGCATGCGGGGGGCGGGCGGGGAATGCGGCCGGCTGCACCCCCAGGAGGAGGTGACCCACCAGAGTGGACGGAGTGGAGGCTGCGCAGGAGACACTGACCACGTCAGGGCTGAGGTGGGCACGTGCTGTCCCTGGGGATCCTTGGTCTTGCACCGCGGGTGGCACAGAGAGAGAGAGCGATAGAGAGAGGCATTGGCTGTAGGGGATCCCAGCCTGGCACCACGGGGGTTGGACTGAGTGTGTGGAAGCTTCTCCTGGCATTGCAGGGGGACAGGGACAGATTAACACTGTAGGTGATCTCAGCCTGTTATGTAAAGGGAAAAGTGTTGGCGTGTCTGTCCTGAGAAGGAGCAGAGCTGTTTTCTTGGTACTGTGGAAGCAAGAGAACAGGTCATTTGGGACTCCTGCGCTTGAAGCAGGGAGCCTGGACCTTCAGACCCCTTCCTAACACATTTTCAGGAGGCCCACATGCTGAGCTGGCAAGGCATTCATTCATAAGCTCTTGCTCCTCAATCCTAGTCACTCTCTGAAATCGGCTTGACTGCCTGTCTTCTCTAACTTCTAGCTGGACATGGGAGCTGGGCAGAGCTCTCTTTGTCCAGATAAAACAGCATCTGGAGGCAACATCATCCCTTTCCCTGCTCTCCCGAGTGGCTGTGAGATTTGATGACAGCATCAGGCCCTGGCAGCCTGCCCTGCTGCCTGCTCACTGCCTCCCATTTGTGCTCTTCCTCCTCAACAGTATCCACACTGGGGACCGACCCTACAAATGTGCTCACCCTGGGTGTGAAAAGGCTTTCACCCAGCTTTCCAACCTGCAGGTAAGGGGCTGGGCGTGTCCTGCTTGCTAGTGGGGGTGACAAGGATGCCAGTGGTGGGGGAGTGCGATGGAAGAATTGAGGCAGCTGGGAAGAGAGTGAAATAATACAGAAAAGCTATTGAAGCCCTGGGCCCAGGAGAAATTCCTGACTTTTGTGGCAGTAGTGACCCAAAGAAGTCATATAAGTGGTTGCATCCTATAAAACTCTAAACTTGACTTGAAAGCACTGAGATCTTGGTAAAGTTCCTCTCATCTGTTCTGCAGCTTTCTAACTTAGCTGGGGCAAGACTTTTGCAACATGTTACACTGAATAAAGTCTGGGTATTTGCTGGGGTTTTTTGTTTGTTTGACAGTGATATGGAGTGCATAACGGTAGGGATTTAAGGAAGCGGAGGTGGTGTGTCCTGTTGCTGTATCCTGGAGGAGGGGAACTGCAGGGTGTGCCAAATAGCAAAGAGCTGTAAACACCTGCAAGCAGCTAAAGCAAATCCTGCCCTGAAGGCATCAGATGCAGGGAGCAAATGTATATGAAGGCAGAAGAGGAGAGACCAGGAAAAGGCTGAGAAAGAGTTGCATGGAAACTGAGAAGATGGGGTTTTTCAAGCATTAGGAGTCTCTGCTGTCCAGAGATGCCTACTATGCCTGGGAAGAAAGGGCATGTGTGGGGAAGGTGTGGTGGGCTGGTGGGAGAAGCTCTGTCCCCTATGCTAGGAGCCAGCCATACCTTCTTCAGCAGTCGGGAGCCTAGGGAGCTTGGGGCCTGTCTGGAAGGGGGTAAAGATGTCTCCAGTACTAATACTTTCTTCCTTCTGCTCGCTGTCTCTTCCCTCCCCACTGCTGCCACCCAGTCCCACAGACGGCAGCACAACAAAGACAAACCTTTCAAGTGCCACAACTGCCACCGTGCGTACACGGATGCTGCCTCGTTGGAGGTACACCTGGCTACGCACACGGTGAAACACGCCAAGGTCTACACCTGCTCCATCTGCAGCCGGGCCTACACCTCGGTGAGTGTTTGCTGCTCTGGGGAGTGGCAGAAATGGACACACTTCCCAGGGAGCATCTCCTCTAGATCCAATGGGAGCAGCCCCCTGAGCTATGTCTCTCCCTGTTGGCCTTGGCTTTTGTGAGCGTTGTTCCCTCCTCTGACACCGTTCTTCCCGTTGCAGGAGACGTACCTGATGAAGCACATGCGGAAACACAACATCCCTGACCCCCAGCAGCAGGTGGTTCAGGCACAAGCCCAGGCCTCGCAGCAGCAGCAGCACTTCCAGCCGCAGGGTGGGGGGGCAGCAGGGGGCCCTTCTGGAGACACTAACCAACCCAACCCGCCCCCCCAGTGCTCCTTTGACCTGACTCCTTACAAGACTTCAGAGCATCACAAGGACATCTGCCTCACTGTCAGCACCAGCGCCATCCAAGTGGAGCACCTCTCCAGCTCCTAGAGAGACCTCAACCCAGGGAGCAGAACGCCTCTTGTGCATAGCCTGTGCCCAGGGGCACCGCCTGTGCAGCGGCCCTCCTTGTGCAACAGTCTCCGGCCTCTCCTCCTGCAACAGCCTCTTCTGGCCGTGTAACCCTGTTCATGGCAGCCCCTTGAACAACAGCCTGTCTCAAGGGGGTGCTCCTTCTGTGCAACAGCCTGCCTGGTAGGAGGATGCTTCCTTGTGCAAGAGCCCCTTTCCTGTGCTGGGATCACTTCCTCATGCAAGAGCCCCTCCTTTCAAACCCAAAGAAAGGCCCCCGTTTTGCCTTCTCTCTCACTGTAGGATGCGTATGAAGGGGGGTTGCGTGTTGAGACACGCACGGTGGATGGGATGGAGAGACGGCCCTTGTACGTACAGGGGCTTGGACACATGTTTTCAGCAGGCCACAGAAGAATGTGGCAGGGTTCACAGCTGGATGGGGTTCTTTGAGGATTGCCTTGAGTGTCTAAGAGAGAAATATCCATTCCTGTCCTTCCTGCTTGAGGAAGGGAGGAGGGGTCGCTCGTCCTGCCCCAAGGACTGGATAGGAGAAACCTTCTCCCCAGTTGAAGGTGAGACCAGTGGAGGGGGGAGAGGTGAGGCATGTTCTCTGGGACGGACAGATACCTGCAGTGCTCAAGGGCTGTGGAGTATTGCATTCTTTCTCCTCCCCTGGTGGAGAGCAATAGAGAGGAGTCTGTCTGAACTGGCTGCTGCCTCTCTCTCCCAGCTGTCTGAGCAGCATGATGGCCAAGGCCCCGTAGGAATGTGGGTTCCTGCTCATTGCTCTTCCTGCCTGTTGTGGATGATATCCTAGCAGCTTGTACTCCTCCTCTCCCTCCTGCTTTTCCTCCCACCTCCTCAGAAAAGCCTGCAGGCATCAACAACAAACCAAAAAGCAACTAGAGGGAGGGTAAGAGACTGCCAAAATAATCATCACCCTTCTCTCTGCTCCCTTTCCTGTAAGGTGGAAATGACAGCAGTTCTGACACTCACACACCTGTCCTGCCCTCAGTTTCCCAAAGGGAAAGAGGAGGAAGAGGAGGAGGAGGAATAGACCAGTCTTTTCAAGGAGCCAGCAGGAGGCAGGGAAAGGCTAGCTTCTCCTGCTCACCTCCCGCCAGAGTGTTCTCCCAGGCTCCCTCTTGCCAAGACGGGCTGGACTCACACGGCAATGGTGGCCTCTTCTGGACCCTGGTCATGGGAGAGAATCCCCAAAAGGTGGACAGTGGAGAGAAGGGGATGAAGATCCCCACAGAGAGACCAATCTAATGAGAAGGGGGAGCCAACAAGAATAAACTGAAGGCCCCTTGAATTTATATATATATATATATATAAATATCTATTCCCCACCCCGGCCCGCTCTGTCCTTGCTGTAACTGTTTCTATCTCTGTGTTTATAAAACGCATTATCCTGGCGAATTTTTATTTTCAATCTTTGTTTGTTTTTCCCTTTCTCTTCGTCTTCAATTCTTCTTCCCCCCCCCTTTTTTTTTTTTTTATTGGTCCACATGACTGCTAGTCTTGTGTGTCACTTGTTAGTTTCTTTGGATCATGGAGGCTGACTCGGAAGAGAATGAGAAGGCAAGGGAAAAAGCGTGTTGTTGGGTTTTAAAATCAGTCACCCACCCAAAAGCCTATAGAATCCCAGACTTCTGTATGAACAACCGATAGGGGCTTCTTTTTTTTTTTTTTTTTTTTTTTTAACCACCCTGTATGGAAATAAATTGGTGTAAAAGGCTCCTTGAAGGTGCTGCCGTGAGCACCCTGCCCCTGTGACGTGTGTTCCTTCCCCCTGCACCAGACCACTGCACGAGCATCTTGCTGCCGTGAGTCCGGAGCGGCTGTGTGGGCGGATGCGAGGGCAGCACATCCCTGCCTTTGGGCAGTTGGCTCAAGGAAAGCAAGGAGCTCTGCACCTGTGGTGCCTGTGGCAGAAACCTTTTTCTCTGTGTTTAGTCACCAGGGTTGGCTGTGAATGGTTGGAGTGTTTTGTAGATGCGTAGGTTAGGCTAAAAGAAGGTGTCTGACTTGCCTCCTGCGCTTCACAGGTGACATTTCAATCCATTTATCCTGTAGTGAGCACCAAGAACTAATGTGCATTTAAACTATGTGCTGACAAAATCTATTGGCTTGATTTTGAGGCACTGGGACACAGAATCCCTTCCATTGGTAGCCTGCTGCAAGGGCTTCACGTTCCTGCTGTTTGAATATTTCAGTCAGATTTCTCCTTGCTTTGGCTTCCGGTTACTAGTTCTGTTTACATCCATCCCACTGATTCAGAGAGCCTGAGCACAGTGGTGCTTTTTCCCCTGGACAGGTATTAAAACACTCTAGTGTCTCTTCTCAGTCCACATTTTGACAACCTAAATAGATGAAACTCTGTAAACCTTTCACTGTAAGGGATTTCCTCCAGCCCATGAATTATTCTTGTCTTTTCTTTCTACATCTTGTCAAATTTTTCAGTATCTTATAAAAATGTTCCTTTTGGATTTGAGTGTTGGAAGCCCCAGTGCCGTGGACAAGGTCCCTTAGCCTTAAGTCTGCAGAGGATTGTGTTTGCCCAGTTCTCACAGTGTTAAACAGGAGCTGAAATTGGCTGCTTGTCTGGTGTGACCCCTCAATCATCCGAAGTCTTGGCTTTCCATGATAGTGTTTCCCTCCTTCTGCAGGTATGGTCTGAGTTCTTATTTCCTAGATGCTTCACATGAGGCTGTGTCCAAGTCCAGTTTGTGTGAGTGGACCTGGCTGACCGATGGACCAGGCTACTCACTGCTTTCCCAGTTCTGTGACCCACAAACTGTATCAGTTGTTATTTTTTTACTTGCAGATCCAGGTTGAAATGCTGCATTGCATCTGACCTACGCTAACTTGAAAAGCATCATTGAGTGCAACTTTTTATTAGCTTGTTTTTGAGACTTGCAGGCTAGGCATTTCTTAATCCTCTTAGTATGTGATTATGTACAGTAAATCTTTCTGACTTATGGTGCTAGGTCAATGCCTTATAAAAATTTAAGTATGTTGCACCTATGCAGTCCCCTTTGTTAAACCAAATGTATAATGATGGCATCTAAGAATGAAATTAGGGTTTGGGTTTTTTCTTTTCTTGTTTTACTACAAAATCTCTTATTTCATAAAACCCTTGGATTATAGACTTTATTTTTTCATTCACTAATTCTTCATCTCAACGGCTTTTCCATAATTTTAACATTGAGTCATTTCATTTGCCTTTTGGGAATACTGCCATGAGTGTCTTAAGGTATTTCTCTAATATCCCAACTTTAATTAAAATGAGAATCAATGGGCTAGAGAGCTTGTTAGTGAACTCCTTTAGGGATTCCTGTTTCTTTGCTGACTTCAAAATGCGTATCCCTAGTACATGTTGTCTCATTTCCTACTTTGATACTAAGGTACTAGATAGAAGTTGCTATTTTCATTTGACTGCCACATCCTATTCCTTTCTTTATATTTGTTGATTGATTTCCCCTATTCTGTGTCACTAGCATTTTCACCATTTTTATCTAGCATGGATCAGTACTATTAGTAAGATGATTTTTATTTATTTTTTATTGCAAGAAATTAAAGAGCCAGAAATTTGTTTCCTATTACCACTAGTTTTGCTAGCCAGCAATTTTACTTATTTTATAATTTGTAACTTGTGTAAGTTGCTGTCTGGCCTTCACCTTTTCCATCTGTTGTGTTTGTTTGATTTTCTTTAAATTGTTTCTTGCTCACCGACTTTCTCACTGAAGCCAGGAAGAGCTTTTACCAAAAGGTTTCCTCTTTTTCATTGTGGAATTAGGGCCTTTTTGACTACATGATAGAGTTTTCCTCACAGGAGAGTTTAATTCACGTTTCTCTGCCTTATTTTTTTTTTTCTCATGGAGAACTCAGTTTATAGTTTTGCTCACCCCTGGAAGTCAGCACAGACTCAGCATAGGTTTATTACTACTTGTGGCTCTCCTCTCTATGTCCATATTCCATATGACAGGACAAAACTGCAAGTTTCACTCAAGTTATCTCATCTCATATGCATCATCTTTAAGTCTGAAAAATTGACTTGGCTTGGGTGCAGTGTCTTGTATTAAGTTGGGAAGGTTTTAAAAGTCAGAATTACACTTTGCTGACTGGTTGAATTCCCTGGGGAATGGCTCACAAGTTAAAATTCCTTGCAGAGATTTTTCGTTTTAAATGTTAAAGGTGCTTGAAATTGCCTTTCCGGGCCCCTGGTTTGCTGTGTTGTTTTCTAATGTCTGCTATCCTTCCCCTTCTTGGAATCTGCTACCTAGCATGGGGATCCATATGTATTTAAGGCTGTACAATTCCTGTGTTACCAGTCATTCCAAAGGTATTATTCCTTGTGTTTTTGCAGCTTGCTGCTGTACTTATAGCTTTTACTGTTGCCCAGGAAGAACCTAATTATTTCGTACTAAGGGACTTCCCATTGAGTTTCAGAAATGCCACTTTATTCCAGGCCCCTTTTTTTCTTATCAATGAGAACATCCTACTTCTCTGTTTACCCAGAGTCCTGTTGCTGATGTGGAAATAATTGAAGATATCTTACTCTCATTATCTTTGTCACTTATTTGAGTTTGGATTAGGTCTTTGGATTCCCAAGGTTGTTTAACATAGTCAAAGTGCTTCAGGTGGTTTAAAAAGGAGAGTTGCTACCTGTGAGACACAAAATCTAACAACTTGTACAAAATCCTTCCCTGTTGAGATGCAGCCCGAGGTTCTGCAGCTTTTCAGCTTTGTGCGCTCAAGCCAACAATGGTTCAATTATTTACCTCCCACTCACAAGTGGAAGATTCTCTTAACAAGATCCCATGGTCCTTCCTCTTAGCTCCCTGAATTCTTTGACCCTGCATTTTCATTGTGATGCCAATCCATTTGTTTCTGTATGTCTTATCCAAGAAGACTTGACAATGACTCTGGAGTTCTGTGTTAGGTTGCATCCTGTGTCTTTGCTGGAAGGCAGTAGCACTTTTTCTTGTTGTCCTTTTCTGAGCTGATTGTCTGTTCTTAGCTGGATTTTACAAATTATCATTGCTTTAAAAAGAAACATCATGTAGGCTGGAAATCATTTAGAAAAGTCACCCACAAACAGTAACTGAATCTCAGCCGTGACTAATGATAGTATTGCTGGTCTATAATTCAGTTAAATCTTCAAGAAGGATTTAAGACTTTCATAATTTAAAGCCTTATGGTTAATCAACCATAGCCCTTATTAGAGTTTTTTGTTGGTTATCACTGCCATTAAAACTGCCATTCTGTTTTACTAGTATTTTTTTTTTAATCCATAGGGTCTTGTTATGGCTTTGTTCAGTACATTAAAGTCTTATTCTATAAGAAGTCTTTCTTCTTCTGCGATGAATTATAGACCATGATCAAGTCACTGCATTCATTCTTCCAAACAGCTAAATTAAATTGAGCTGGTTTAGGTGTCTCACATTAAGGCTTGGCTCCATCATGTATTTCTTACCTGTTGCCTTTCTTTCCCTTTCACTTACCAGGCTGTGTAGTGTTCACTTCAAGTCTTGCTACATTAGACCTCGGTGGTTATCCTGAGCCACCAAACTTACAATGCCATACAAGGCTGTCTAGTTCTTTTAATGAGATCTTTTTCTTTAAATTAAAACAAAGAGCATTATGCTTCTTTTCTTAGCTGAGTGCAAACTTTATCAATTACACTGTGATTTTGCCATGTCAGTGTTAGGTTAACTGCCTTACAGCAACCTGGATGAGCCCATTTGCTTTTCAAATACTTTTAAAGTATTTGCTGGTCTTCTGGAACACATTCAGACTTCAAAGTTGTTTGGAAAAGAAAGCCCATTGCTTCCATCTGCTTGCCAGATAATTCTTTTCAAATTACAGATTGTCAGTTTCTAGCTATGCAACTTTTAGGATGGTTTATTTAATGGGTAGAACTAAACATCTTCCTAAATCTCATTGGCAATAGGTAATATTTCATTACCTCACAGATACGTCTACATCATCCAACTTTCTTCCTAATATAGAATATAATTATGAGATTCTGCCTGTCTTCTATATTTTATTGATTATTTTATCATCTTTATATCAACTAAAGGATATATATCATGTTTAGGATTTTCTTCTAATATTTTGCAGGTAATGTACCTGAAAGCTGCCCAAGTTTACTAGTGCAGTTTCAGAACATAGAATGAAATTGCTCTGTACACTTTCTTAACTACAAAATAGGTACCTGTTCAATCGTCATTTCAGGTACAACAGATTAAATTTGTGTGCATGGTTTCTTGTTTCTGTGTAGTAGACCACCAGATTACTAGAGAGATGTAGTAACTTGGTCCAACAAACATTTCGATTTCATGTAGTGTCTGTGTAATGAATGGAAAAAAAAATGCAAGAAAAGAAATCGTGACACCAAAGAACTAGAGTCTATGCCTAGTTTTGCTGCGGAATTAGGATATGTTATTGGAACATGGACACAGGTATAATCTGTGGCCTTTGGCATCCTCTTTCATTTGTAAAGCTGAATAACCACCCTGTGGGCAAGTGCTGCAGATCAATCCTTTGCTGTTTGTGAGAATGAAGTGTGGGTACATCCAGTGTTTCCTGAGGACAGGAAATGCAGAGCAGGGACCTCTGAACTGAGAATGTTAAAGAGTGAGAAGAGCCGAATGCACCTGTACAGCAAAAAGGGATCCAAACAAGAGTGTGAAGCTGTAGGCCCTCCTGCTGGGTTATGTGTAAGGATCCCTCTCAAGCACTGGGCTTCACCTCCTAGTCCTTGGACAACGTTTAAGAGGTCTCTAAGGTAACTGAAAAGCCAAAGGCTTGCATTTGATATGCAGATGTTTACATTTCCAAGGGAAAACACAGGCATCTGTAGATCAATAAAGGTTGAGAACCACTGCTGCAGACTGCTTCCGTAGGCCGCTCAGCTCCCTGGTGTGAGGGGCACAGGCCTTCTGGGCAGCACGCCCGCTCATCCCGCAGGCCCTCCCTCCATCCAAGCGGGAGGAGGTACCTGCGGGTTTAACAACAGGATGTAATTGTAGCAGCAAACTGGGGTGAGGGGGAGGAGTGTGATAACCACCGGGGTTAGCGTCTGTGGCTTTGTTACTACAGCAGGATCAGTGAATGAGGCTGGGTGAGAGTTAGACATAAATAGCCGTGGATCTCTGGAGCGTATTTCAGTGGGGGAAACACCTTCCTGTAAAATCATCTGCGCCCCTGCCAGGACTCTGACTCGCTGAAGTGTTGACTCTAAAAAATAATGCACCTCTCGCCAATAACTACCGTGGTAACACTCCCTCTGAAGGTGAGGATGCCCTGAGTGATGCACTTCTCTATGCTTTGACTTTCTAAAGAAAGCAAAAATAGCAAATTTTCTAGATTCAGAAGTCAGGAACTGGTTTTTGCTGGATTGTTAGTTTCTACTGTTGTGAGACCGCACAGGCACACAAAACTGCCTCTCCCCTTTGTTTTCCAGCTTCACAGTGGCAGTTCATGAACTTAAAGACACATTTGTACATTTTACTAAGATTTACCATTTAGATTTTAGGCAAGTGTCTCCTCTTTTCCTTGTAGTTCGTATCTGCAGTGGCAAGAAGTCCAGAGGGAGCTTGTCTCTCCACTTCAGTGGTCTAGTATTTTGAAACATTCCTAGCCTTGGCTTGGAGGGTAAGATGGGATTCCCAGGTGGTCTCTTAACCAAATTAGTGATTTCTGAGAATGTCTAATTCTTAATGTCAGCTCCATTCAGCCTGACAGCCCCAAGCAGGATGTATTTGGGGGATTCTGGTTTAGTAATGCGACATGGTATAGGGAGCAGGGTTTTTTTTATGTAACAGCCACATCCTTCCCCTTAATTAAGAGTGTAAGGCAATTTATACAAGAATTTTGAAGTACTTTAAAGTGAGGCTTAACAATAATGTTCAGCTAACTGAAGCCAGCTGCTTCATATGAGAACTGAAAAGACTAAGAAATGTGTTTTGAATAATTAAAAATATGTCATAAATAACTTAGATGACTGTAGGAATAGGAATGGAAAACACCATCTTCAGAACAGAGGATCTCTGAATTAACCAAATAGTTTAACAACAAGAGGGTCTGATAGTTCAAACAGCTGCAATTCATTTATGTAACAGCTCCTCAGTCTCACAGTGGAGGCTGCTGGAAGACTTAATCCCAGTATATCCATATAAATAAAGGCAGGGTGTCTTGGAAGATCTTTGGGAGGAGAGAGTTAAAAACCCAAATCTAGTCGCTTCTCCTCGTGGCCAGAATGTGGTAGCACTCGGTCCTGAGCCGTGACTGTGACTACAGACTGTCCGTAAAAAACAGAATGGTGGCGGTGAGTACCCAGCAGAAAGGTGGATGAAATGTAGTATTTGCCAAACAAAACCAGTGCCTCCTAAACCCTATAGGATGCTGAATTAACGCTGACGTCTTCAAACGACAATCCTGCATATCCTAGACCTCAAGGATCAAAAGAAGTATGGTGATTTTGTCTCAGTTCCTTCATAATCACGCATGACCTCACCCTCTTAGCCCAGCACAAAGCCGCGCTGTGCATGTAGCAAAGGACAGCTGGGGAAGCTCCTGAACTCCCTGGCATGAGGACCTCTGACCCAGAAACGACTCGTGGTGTGTGGTCTCTAAGGTGGTAGTGGCAAGAGGAAGGAAAAGAGAAAACGGTCTTAACTTTATTCCATTCTTTAGCTGTGTTTTACCACAATCCTTTCACAGCAAAGACTGTCTCATTTATGACACAGCAGCAGCTGCTCCTCCCTGGAGAATTCCGTGGTGAATGGAAACCAATAGTAAGCAACAGCACTTCCTCGCCCAGATCACAGGACGGGTAAGGGTGGGAGGGACCACAGTGGCTCATCTGGTCCGCCCTCCCTGCTCAAGCAGGGTCAGCTAGAGCGCACAGAACAGGACGGTGTCCAGCCGGTTCTGGAATATCTCCACCGAGGGAAACTCCACAGCCTCCCTGGGCAACCTGTTCCAATGCTCGGGCACTGCACAGTAACGAAGTTCTTCCTCGTGTTCAGGTGCAACCTCCTGTGCATCAGTTCCTGCCCTTTGCCCCTTGTCCTGTTGCTCAGCACCACTGAAAAGAGCCTGGATCCATCCCCCTCCACACCCCCTCCCCTGCCCCGCTTTAGGTATTTATACACTTTGATGAGGGCCCCTCTCAGTCGCCTCTTCTCCAGGCTGAACAGGCGCAGCTCCCCCCTCCTGTCCCCGCCGGAGCGATGCTCCCCTCCCGCGGTCTCCCCCGTTCCCTCCCACGGGGCCCGCCCGGGGCCGACCGACAGCCCCGAAATGGCGGCGGGGCCGGGCGGAAGTGCCCGGCGGGCCGGGCGGAAGCGGCTTCCGCGGCCGGGCAGCGGCGCTTCCGGGGGGCTCGGCGTGCGGCTGTGGGCGGAAGCGCCGCGCGCGGGCCAAGATGGCGGCGGGGATGTACCTGGAGCACTACCTGGACAGTAAGGGCCGCGGGCGGGGCCGGCACGGCCCGGCGGGGGCACCGACGGGCCCAGGGGCGGGGCCTGCGGGGCCGAGCGCTTGGCCGGGCCGCCCGCGGGCTGTCCCAGCGCCTCGGGCGCAGCCCGGCCCGGCTATCGGCCGGCCGGTCCCCGGGCCGTGCGGGCAGGGCTCGGCTGCGGCTCCTGCGGGAGCCCCGGCCCCGCGGCCCCGCGGCTGGCTTGTCCTCGGAGAAAGGAGCCCGGTGCTGCTCCAGCCCCGAGCGGGAGCTAGGCTGTCGGTGGTTTCCCGGGATAAACGTCAGCAGCAGGGATGGGGGAATCAGCCACCGTCTGTGGGACGGTGTTTTCGGTAGCTTCCTTCGCTGTCCATTTGCAGTGCAGCCCTGTTTTTGTGGCCGAAGAGGGCCTGTGTAAATGCTGATGGAGTTGGTAACGTTATCGGAGCCCTCCTTTGATACTGTCCCGCTTTGAGGTGCTCAGAACTTTGTCAAACTCTGCCCTTTGGGGATAAGACTTGCGGTGCCTGTTTTACCCACGTGTTCTTGAAACAGCCAGGTAGACTAATCAGAGGAGTTGTTTCTCGAGGAAGGGACTACTGATCTGTTAAGATCCACTAACCTGTTCTTTGAGGAGTGCTGTTTGCACATTTTCCTGCTGATCTGGTGTCACGGGAGACGGGGGAGCACAGGGATGGGGTGGTGTGTTTAAAGTGCGGGAGCTCTGGTAACGTGTCTTACTTCACTTTGTCTGGCCAGGTTAAATCTCTCCCTCTCTATTTGTGTATGCTTGGAAACATTGGAGCTTGGCTCTTCAGAAATTTTGCTACTCCAGGTTTCTTCCAGCCCAGAGCTGATAAGGTCTTTATTTGGAGACAAGGTGTCTTCAGTGCTCCCTTTGCCATTAGGAAAGGAAACCTCTCGTGAATTAAATTAAGAAGGTTCAAGAACTGTAATAAATTCCCCAGAAAGATGGAATTGAACAGGCAAGGATCTAGGAGCTGCGAGGAAGGAGGATGCAAGAGCCAGGAAGAAGAGTTGGATGAGAAGGCAGATTGTGAGAGAGGAGCAAAGATTTATCTTGTGCTTTCCTCAGTGGAGAGGACAAGGGCTAGACGAGGAGAGAGAAGCAGGTGGAGAAGGAGTAAGTGCATGGGGAGGATGCAGGGTTTTCCTTCTTGGAGGGCATTTGGCACGAGCCGCGGTGCCGAGATAAAGGAGTGAAAGGCTGGGATTTGCAGTTGGAAAGCAGAGATGAGCAGGAGGCAGCACTGGGTGTGGAGGGGTGTGGGAGGTACCAAGCTGGAGAGAAAGGAAGCTGTAGGCGATCTTGGTGGCTGGAAAGTGCTCCCAGACACCTCTGACTCTCCTTGTCACTTCAAACTAAAGTTGACCCACTCCTGGAAATTCCTCTTCTTCTCTAGTATACTTATTTTCTCTCTCAGCTGAGATTTGTGGTCCTGCAGTTGAATTAGAGATTCTTATCCTCTTAGAGGTGGATTTTAATATGGGGGTGTCACTGTTACTGTTAAAGTATCTTACTTAAAAACAGAAAGCAATGGGCACAATCTAAAAGCCCTTAAAAACTCTGGTTACAAAGATGTTGAAAGAACAAAGCAGTCTCTGCAGCAATGGTTTAGCCTGGTTTGCTTACCCATAGAGCTCTAAAGGCTTTTTTCAATTTCTGCTGTAATATTACTTTCCTCTGTTAGCTAATTGTAAGATACTTACTGTGCTTAACCTACAGTTTCTTTCAGAAAATCGTGTTATATGAATTGTAATACTTACAGTCAAAGGGCATCCATCTAGTTTTTCAGTAAATTAATCTGCTGATAGGCTTTCCTGTCATGCTTTCATGACCTGTGTCTGTAGTTAATTTTCGCAGTTCCAGTATTTAGTCATTGCACCTTTAACACCTCTTACCTGCCATGTTAAAGTGTCCCCCTATTAAAAGTTTACTCCCTGTGTAGATTGCAGTTGATTAAATCTTAACCTTCTTTCTGTTAACTTAGGAAAAAAATTGCCTGGGATAACATATTTTTCATTTTTCTGATTACCTGTATTGTTCTTGTCCCAGCCTGCTCTAATTTTTTTACATTCTGTTTGAACTTCTCACTCTGTGAAAATGCATAGCCTTTTAGCAATGAGTCTTCTTCGTGATACTGACTGAGTGACAGCTTTTGGTTTCCTCCTTTCTACTTCCTTTTTCTTTTTTAAAAATTATTTTTGTATTTTAAAAGCATTCACTTCAGCTACAGAGTAGTTCACTGATGTCCCAAAACTTCCTGAAATTTGATACAAATAAATAGTCCAGAGCCTTTGGTCATCTCTTCTAAAAACGTCTAATTTACTTCTTCTTTTACATTTGCGTCTTGGAACCAAATTCTTTTAGTATTACAGTGCTATTGCAGATTCAGTTTTCAGTTGAATTTCTTTCTTCCTCCCACAGAGATTCCCTTTCATGGGGTTTACTGGCTGGGTCTGCTCGGGGAATGAATGGGCAGGGTGTGAAAAGGGGGCAGGTTGTTTGTAGGGCCTCTTCATATCTTGGAAGAAAGGAAAGATGTATAAGGAATGAAGTGAGGATTGTAGGAAGGAGAAAGGTGGCCTCCTGTTTGAGGCAGTTGAGTACCGCTCTGGCAAAGTGAGTTCAGTGTTTTGTGTTGGGAGTCACACTTTTTACAGGTTCTCCTTGCTTGGATTGTGCTTCCCTCAAATTATGAGTGAAAATTTGCAGTCAGGGGAGCAGATGTGCAGAATGCTCATAGCCACAGCTGAAGTCTGCTTTGAACAGATAATTCTGAAAAGTCAGGCTATTCAAGAGGCAAGATTGTAATTAGCTGGCCTTCTTGACTTTAATCTCTTTGCCTCAGTAAATCTCCCAGCCTTCATTCTTTTGGTAAGGGAAGTGGGCCACTCCACTGCAGCATTGTGAAAATGTTTTAGTGTCACAATAATGAACACCTTGAAAAGCTGATTACAGAGTCGGTTTTCGCATTGTGCTCTGGGCCCTGTGTGTGTGACTGTATCAAGCAAAAAGAATAAAATAAAACTTTGAATCACTGCTCAGTCACTCAGAATGAGAAACACCTTGTATGAAACCTCATGCGGTTTGGTAGTTAAAAACCATGTTAAAATGCATGAGTAGTCTGACAAAACTGTGCATACAGGCTCAGTTTCTTCAGTTTATGTATTTTGAGTCCTCTGCTTTGGGCACCTAAAGTTCTTTTCCATTATGTTTTTGTGGAATAGCCTAATTAAGAACAGTTCTCTTAGTAAAAGGTGTCTGGCTGGTTCTTAGGTCTGGTATTTGAGTAGCTTTCAAGTCTTTGCTGTAATTTGAACCTGAGTTTAGACCGAGGATTAGACATGCCCTTGCATTTGCTCTACACTGTTAATTTAACAAAGCAGCTCTGTCTGAAATGTGTTATGCTCCTGGAAGATGTTTTTGCAGCAGAAAAATATGCACATTCCTTCTGTGCTGAACATCCTGACAGAGGAACTCCTGTCTTGTCTACTCTGATCGCCTTCATCCCTTCATCCTAATTACTGAAGCTGTCCTTTCAATGATTATACTGAGCCAAAGGATTCAGGCAAGGGGAGAAGAGGAATGTATCTTGTTCTAGTTGTCTTGTTCCAGTTTTCTTTTTCCTGAGTGGTTTTCTCCAGTTGCTGAAGTTAAGCGTAAAAAGATTTCCATCACTTCAAATATTGTCCTCTTCCCGGTCTCTAAACCATTTTATGCCTGGTTTTGAGGGGAGAAAGCAAGATAATATAAGTGCTTTCCCTCAAGCCAGTAAAACAGCAGAGGAGTGCAAAGGAGTTAGAGACGTAGAAAGGAATGGGGGAAGAAAAGGAAGAAGGAAGAAAATAGTGTTTTGTGATTAAAAGATTCAATGTGCTTGAAGACTCATTAGCGGAGCTTTTGGTTGCTTGAACTTGAGTTACTGTGCTTGGCTATCGTACTGGGTTAGAAATCCTGTAGTGGAGACTTGGAGGGGGAGAATGTGACTAGTACAGATTTTCCAGAAGACGAGATGCAAACCCTGAGTTTCCTTCATGTTTGGACTTTTCGAGGGGATTGCAGATCTCCTTTGTGAAAGAGCTCATTGAAGCACATACGTACTCAGAAAAGAGTCCCAAATGATTTTCTACAAGTCTCTGTTTGTATGTGAACGTGCCATGAGTGTAGGGATTGTCTTTATAGCAGAGGAACTGCTGTGCAACCAGGTGTATTTTGTACCATCAGTGCTTCCCTCTTTGCACACCCAGTGGGTGACAGAATGAAGTAAGTATACTTAGTGACAACACACAAATGTATCTTATATGGCAACGGAACCAAGGCACGTATGTTTCCTCAACAACAAAAAAGTGTTTCCATCCTCCCACACCTCAAACCTCTGAGGAACTAAAGCCAGCATTTCATCTAAATTAGACCTAAACGCTTGGGAGAGTCATCAGCAGAGGGCAGGTAGGCTTGGTGAGCTTGAGAGGCAGAAGGATGTCGCTGACCTGGCTGCTCTAGTGGCTGCTTGATACTAATTCCATTGTCTTGGAGGCCACCAGTCAGGACCTGTTCCAGGAGCAACCATTAGGACGTATCTGCCTCAGTGAAGAGGGTGATGGAGACAACAGGCTTAGATGAGGAGGCCTTAGCTGGTAAGTTAACATGGTAATGTGTAGTCATTTTACTTTGTGTTTTTCCCCTTTTTTACACTGATTAGGATGGCATCGAGTTCCCTTTGCTCCTCCATTTGCACGTGTTAGTAGGCACATAGAGATGCACCAGTTCAGGGCTTGTCAATACTGGAAAACTTAAGCACAGAGCAACAGAAGCAGCATCTGCCCTTGCGAAAGTCATCTTCTTTCTCTTACAGCTGACATGGGAATGTCCTTTCATTCCTTGATAACATTAGCTAACCCAGTAAAAAAAGATTATTCTTCGGAAGAGCTACATCTGTCAGGATTTTCCTCTGTGTAGCTTCATCAAATGAGAGTGTGATGTGTATCGTCATCTTAATGCTCTTAGAGGACATGGGTGTGATGTCGGAAATTGCTGTGGCAAGCCCCTGATTCCTTCCCAGACCTGGCTGCATTCCAAATTCCCCAGCAGTTCTTTTATCTCTTGTTTTCCCATCTTTACTGTTATTCCCTCCCCAGTGCAGCATGCAGCCATACCCCCCGTGTCCATCCCTCTAAAGTTTCTCACATCGTACTTCAGAAATGCAAGTCTCTTAATAATTTTTTTCTGTAATCAACACTGTTTTGGTGTAATGAAAGGTGCCTTTCACCTTTCCAAGACTTCGGATTAGTTGCATCTGTGATGCATCACACTTGATCTGTGGAAAATTACAAAAGACATCAGGCAGGGGAGAGAATTTGGTGATTCACAGGCATCATTTGTTTCTGTGTGAAAGCTACTGGCACAGCCCACACTAAGCTGATACATTTAATGACCAGTTCATTTAGAATTGATTTTGTTGTTCACTGGTATTTTTATCAGAGCTGATACAAGGTGGCTTTACGTGGCAAAGCATACTGTGTTTTCTCTGTGTTTGCTTCACTCACCCAACTGCAAATCTGATGTGATGGCAAACAGCCCCGTGAGCTCTTTGGTGGCTGACGCTGCCTTTGGAGGTCTGTGACAGGATGGAAATGCCAGGAGTGTTGCGAGTTTCATTTCTTGTGTTAGTCTTCCAAGCCCTCCAAGCTTCAGAAGTCAAGGTTGATCATTAATCTGGCAACAAAGATCCCTTTTCTGAGACTTAGCAACATTGCCTGCGATCTCGGCCGTGGGCGCTGTAGCACTGAGGTACCGTAATAAGAAAATGACAGAAAGAGCCGTCCCTTCCCAGGAAAACAGTCCAACACTTTGGGGGAGTATTGGGTTTCTGTAGCTGTTGCATTGACTGTCATTGCTGACTGATTCCTGTTTCTTTGGACAGTGCCTGAAGGAGATGTGCTTCGGTGGACTCCTGTGCAGTGCACTGGCCCATAGCCTGGGATATATGACATGGGCACAGAGTTCCTGGGTGCCTGTAACTAAATCAGTCTGCCATACACCTGAGCACCCTAATCCTCTTTGTAGAACTGTGGGTAGTAGTATCCTCACGAGGTGTTGTGAGGAGAGCGGGTTAGGGTTAGGTACGAGTTAGGATGTGTACCTTGCAGTAGGGCTGAGCCATGTATGAATAGAGGGAAAGGTATACATTGTGGTCGTGCAGTAATTTCAATAAACTGCGTAGGAGGTTGATTAATTACTTGAGAACACAGGACAGAGAAGAAACATTAGTTTTAAAGGGTTATGCCCTCTGAAAGGAGGGATATAAAAGACATCCTGCCCCCTAATGAGGAAGCGAGGGAGCGCCTGAAGATTGCTGTAAGCCAGTTGTCCTGCAGTAACTTCAAGTGCTACAAAATTATGAGGATCACAGAGTACCAAAAAGTCCAATGTGCTTCCCCTACAAGATCCCAAACACTTTCCTGTCTTGGGGGCAAAGAACTTGCCCTCTCATTGTGGCAGTCCCTGGCACAAGCAGGATTTTTTTTTTTTATTACCTTCAGCAGTGTGGTGTCTAAAATGTTTGCTGAAATATATACTGTTCAATAAAGCAACTGTGGTTATGTTTCAAAATGTATTTTCCTGGTTTTTAATAAATTTAAACGTGCATGTAAACATGGTGGGTAAACAGATGTCTCGGGAGAGGCACTGTGTGCTTGTATGGTCCTTGGTACTACTGATCATCTTTTAGGAATCTGTACAATACCGATCCATTGTTTGGCACAGTAAGGGCGTGCTGCGGGGGATTGAAGCACAGCTGATGTTACCAGGCTGTGTAGGCTCGCTCTCCGCCTGTGTATGTCAGAGGTAACGTCTGAGTTAAGTAGCTGAAGTTTAAATGTCATTTGCCTGCACCTGACACCCCACGTGTGCTTCTACAAAGGAGTAAATAAAATGATGATTATTGGAGAGGAAAGAGAGTGGTGTGGAAGTCTGACTTTTGGAGAGGGAGAGTGCGTGTTTTTTAAGGGAGAAGACTGCGTGGTAGTGGATGCCTGTGGAAGAATGAATGGGGGAAGGAGTGACAAGGAAAGAGGAGAATAAAAGAGATGAAGGAAGAACGGGGGGAGTGAAGGGATAAGAACTGAGGAAAGACAGTGGTAGGTGGAGAGACTTAGGCTTGTGATCAGAAATGAAAACAAGGTAGGAAAAGGAAGGGGTGAGAAGAACTCACTGAGAGACCTGCACCAATGATTTTCAGGATAATTGTGCTGTGAGAGGAATCGGTAGGGCTGCACATGGCGTCTCTGTGGATTTGTGCAGATGGGTGCATTAGGAAAAACATTTGCCAGCAGGTCAAGGGAAATGATCCTGCCTCTCTACTCAGCTCTAGTGGGGCCACATCTGGAGTGCTGTGTCCAGTTCTGGGCTCCACAGTACAAGAGAGACATGGAGCTCCTCGAGCAGGTTCAGTGGAGGGCAACAAAGATTATTAAGGGACTGGAGCATCTCTCTTACAAGGGAAGGCTGAGGAATCTGGGCCTGTTCAGCCTCGAGGAGAGATGTCTGAGAGGGGGCCTCATCAATCTTTCGAAGTATCTGCAGGGAAGGTGTCAAGAGGATGGATCCAGGCTCTTCTCAGTGATGCTGAGTAGTAGAACAAGAGGCAGTGGGCAGAAACTGATGCTCAGGAGGTTCCACCTGAATATGAGGAAGAACTTCTTTACCACACAGGTGACTGAGCACTGGAACAGATTGCCCAGAGAGGTGGTGGAGTCTCCCTCAGTAGAGATATTCTGGACTGTGGACACAATCCTGTTCCATGTGCTCTGGGATGACCCTGCTTGAGCAGGGAGGTTGGACCAGATGAGCCACTGTGGTCCCTTCCAGCCTGACCCATTTTGTGATTCTGTGACACAGTTGCAGTAATGCCAGCCCGTGCTTTGGGCCATGCTGCTGGCCTTGCTAGCACTTTCTTCCCTGGACATTTTCACCATCCTCCTCTTCCTCTCTTGCTGCTATGCCATTTGTGTGGAAAGAGGCCCTCGTTATTCCTTATTTTTGTCTCAGTTGTTGTGTATCAGAGACGGAGTGACTGCGCTTCACTGCCCTCTCCTTTAGTGATGGAGGATGCCTTGAGGGTATTTTTTCTTTACAATTATCAGTTTCAGAATCTGACAATTATTTGGGTATTTTGTGATAGATAGTATTTAGTCATTAAAGTTTTAGATGAATCTTATTACAAGATGAAAGAGCAAATGAATTGTAAAGGAAAAAAGGAGAAATTCATGAGGAATTGAAATTACATAAATAACATGAGTGCTTTTAGAAGTACTGAGGAAAAGTGTGTGGCACTGGTAGGACTGAAAAAATGGAAACTCAAATCTTAGACTTTTTTTTTTTTTTTTAATGGGACTGTTAGGGTGGGGATGTCTAATACCCATCACAACACAGGTCAAGCAATTTCAGCAAATGTTCTGACCCCTGTGATAAATTCTGTGATGCAGAGAATCACTTCTGTTTAAGGCTACACAAGAGCTTTGGAGTTAAGCTGCAGATAGTAGAAAACACCCCCATAGCTAAATTAAGCTCTGTACCATCCAAATAGTTTGTCGTTCAGTTAAAACTTGCTTGGCTTCAGCTTTATCTTGTTACGCTTTTTCTTATTGCCAGACTCTCTCTGGATCATAATTTGTAATGGTGTGCTCAGCTTCCTTCCACTTTCAATTGAACAGATAAAGTATCTTCATAACAGTTCTGATTATAAAGTCACTGTACTGTCACTTGTTTCATTTTCTCCCAGTTTATTGACAAAGCAGTTGCAGAACATTGTTCCAGTAATAGATTTGCAGAGTGAAACATTTTGCTGGGGTTTTAGGAAATCATTTTGCTGGTTTTAGCAGGGAAGGAATTAAAATGACAGGGGTTTGTCTCGTCAGTCCCTGTGGAAGCCTGCCCAGCTAATGAGCCTCTGGAAGGTCATGGCTCTTAAGTGCTTAACTGGTAAATGATGGTGCCTGTGCTGAGCCTCTGCTCGGCCAGAGTCAGAGCCAGGTGACACCTCTCCCCACACTGCCAGCAGCAAAGGGCTCTGCACACCTGGAGGCAGGTAACAAGGCAGGGGAGCCATTGGCCTGGCTGAGGGGCTGGCAGTGAGGGGAGCCGGCACTGGGCAGAGAGGGTCTCTGAAGGGTGGGTGACACAGGCTGAGGAGATGAGGCCGGGCATGTAGAGGCAAAGGGAAGACAGACGCTGTCCAAACGAGGGCATGTGCTGGTGTTAGTAGTGGTATCAGATCTTTACAGTGACAACTGCAAAAACTAGAGCACAGTCCCTTTCAGGTTCTGTAGCAGAAACACACTCCTGCTTGAGTTTCTCCTGCTGTGAGAACATCACCGTGAAACGTGACCGTCACCCTGTGTGGGGTTGTTCTGGCCACAGAACAGCGTCCTACTGGCTTTTGTTGTAGCTCAGGTACCTTCTCTTTCTAAAGGTTTCTAGCCCTGCCAAGGGAAAACTGACAGTACCTGGTGCAATTTGTGCTTTTACTGTCTGTCCTTTTCCCGAGGAGAAAAAGAAATTACATTAATCTTTCTTAAAAACCACAAAGTCCAGAATTTAGAAGCTGTGATCTTCAGGATTAATAAACTCAATATAAATTCGACATATTGTGTGCAGTACAAGAACAGATACTGTTTTCCTCTAGAGGATACCTGTCTTGTCTTCTACAGGGGCTGCTTTGGAGAGGAATGAAAAGCAGCATGCTGCAGTATGACCCATGTTTCATTTGCTGTGTAAATTGAAAGGTTTAGAGTTGATGAGTCTGGGGATTGTAGGAAGGAAAAAGGCATGGTCTTGAGATCCCCAAGGTGGATTTCATCCCTGCCATGAGCTTCCTCTGTTAGCAATAATAATTTTCAACATTGTGTCCCCATTGTCTTCTGACACGCTTTTTTGAGCCATAGGGATGTAATCTGGTAGCTGGCTGCTTAAACCTTGTGGGAAGTCTGTCATGCTGAACAAACATGGAAGTATCAAATTCAAGAATGTGCTGACAGAATTTTACCGCTTAGTAATTTTTTGAGAATTTGAATTTGCACTGTTAACTGTCCTTGAATGCAGAGGGGTGATGTGTATGTGCTCTGGATTGTGTATCTGGGTACTCAAGGACACCTACTACCTGAGCATTTCTCAGGTAACTAAACTAGAAATGGCAACAGAAGTGTGTTGAAGCAGCAGCTTCATTACTCATAAGGGCTCTGTGTGTGACTTATTATATTCTGTTTGTGCAAAAAAGTAAGTAAAAGGAACAGCTTCTGTGCTCAGCAAGGCCCGGAGTTGGTTTTACTTCTTACAGGAATTAATTTCACGGCCTGTGGATAGTACTTGTTAAAACCTTCCTCCTGCATACAGACCTTCCCAGACAGCTGGTTTCTTTTCAGGGAATTGAAAAAGCATTTGTTGCTGTAGAAATATGTGCAGTGAAAATAGAGACTGCTGCCTGGACTGATGTATTGGGCAAGCTTTGGTGATGGCCAGACACACCTTCAGTTGCACTCTCTGTGTGTTGGAGAACAGGTTCAGGAAGCAGATATGCTTATGTTGTGTTTCTGAAGAGTTTTTCCCACCAACTTTTTTTTTTTTTTTTTTAACCTTTAAGAGAGATTTGGTTTTTTTTTTTTAATTACATATAAAGGTGACAATAATCAAGCTTGGATTTCAGGTTAATGCAGTAACACTAGATCTCATTTTGATTAGACAGGCATGGAAAAATGAGAATCGTTTTTATCAGCTTTGCCAGTTGAGCATCTGGTGATGCCTAGGGGGTGAGTGGCATAGTGCATGGAAAATTAATTGACTATCAACTTCACATTGCTCATTCAGAGCCCTACAAACATTTATTATTCATGATATATGGCATCCTTCCAGGTGTTGGATGGACCGCACTGAGATGACGGTGCAGAAGGCACAACAAGGAACACGTCACGGGGGGTTAAGACTGATATTCACTGCTCCCTGTCCCATCTCAGACTTGCTCTTTGGCTCTGCCCAAAGCATCCACTGTCCCCTATATGTAAAATGGATGCACTAAAGCAGACTCACTTTTCAGTGAATTAGATTTGATCAACTTTAATTTTTACATCCTTGTGTAGGAACAACTAAATGGCATTATTTACCAGCTGTTGTACAATTTTTTTCTTTACTAAGTGGAGTTTTTGAATGTGTTATAACGACTGACACTTATTACAGATTTTGAGTTTCTGCTTTCTTAATGTGAATCTTTCTGCATGGCAGCAGTTTTCTGCTAACTAATATGTATTCTAGAACTGTGCTCCCAGATTAAATCTATCACGTTTTTATAGTCAGTCTCCTCTGGAGCTGGCAACAAACGGAAGCACGCTAATGTGCACTGGGGATATCATTAGAGGGGTATATGTGTTGTTATTGATTAGCTTTGTTCCTGCCTTGGCATCATGGACAAGAACCTGATTTCTCCATGTATTCTCCTTTTCCCTTCAGGTATTGAGAACCTGCCATTTGAATTGCAGAGAAACTTTCAGCTCATGCGAGATCTGGATCAGAGGACAGAAGGTGAGGCTTAGAGATGGTTTTGTTGCCAAGACAATAAGTATGTAGCTTGACCAGCTTTTCTTTTCTTTGCTTTAAACACGGGGATCCCCGGGCAGGGAAGCGAGCCTAAAGCTGCTCCAGTCATTCAGTCTCTCTTACTGGAGGGCACTGTAGCATTGTGTGTATTTATGTATTTAATGGTAAACTTGTTTCAGACCTCAAGGCGGAGATCGATAAGTTGGCCACAGAGTATATCAGCAATGCACGAACTTTGTCTTCAGAGGAAAAGCTGGGGCTTCTCAAGCAAATCCAGGAGGCCTATGGGAAGTGCAAGGAGTTTGGGGACGACAAGGTTCAGCTGGCTATGCAGACCTACGAGATGGTATGAAGGGAAGTGTCTGGTGCTTATCGGGTGAAAGTCCGAACTAAAGCCCCCAGTCTCGAAAGGCCTTGATCTCTCATTTTTAGGCCCTGCCCGCTCTTTGCTTCTTGGCTCTTTAGTGCAAGCCCCCTCCTCCTTGTCCTCCTGGGCTCTGTCCTGTGGTGACTCCTGGTCACTGTTGTCTTTGCAGGTGGATAAGCACATCCGGCGGCTGGACACAGACCTCGCTCGCTTTGAAGCAGACCTGAAGGAGAAGCAGATAGAGTCGAGTGACTATGACAGTTCTTCCAGCAAGGGCAAGAAGAGTGAGTACCACCACTGGGCTGCAGATTGATGCAGGAGGCAGCCAAGTGACTGTGGAAGTGGTGGGGATGAAGGCAGGCACTGGAATGGTACAGATCAAAGACTGTTGCGCTGGAATCTGAAGGACAGGTAAAAAGATGGTGACCTGGGCTGTTCTTGTGTGAGGATATTCAAGGCCACTAGATAAAATTAAGATGGGGTGCGTGGCCCAAAGCCGATATGCATTCCAAAGTAGGAGTGTATTTTAGTGCTGGGGAGGTTGTCACCGTGTCAGGTGTCTATTTTGATGGGGTGACAGATGCAACACCTTTTTCTCTTCTTATCAGAGGGCCGAGCCCAGAAAGAGAAAAAAGCTGCCCGTGCTCGCTCTAAAGGGAAGAACTCTGATGAGGAAGCGCCAAAAACTGCCCAAAAGAAATTGAAGCTTGTCCGCACGTAAGTGTTTTAAGAGACTTGTGGGAATCAGGAGCAGCACTAGAAATCAGACCAAGGAAGGCCCAGTCTGAGAAGGATAGCTGATCCCCACCCAGACTAGAAGGGTGTATCTCCTGTCCCTTCTTGGGAAGCAAGAAGAAGGAAATCTCTTTAATTCTTTCAGGGGAGTGTGGGCTGAAGAGGAAAGCAGGTCACTTCACTGGAGTTGGGTGTATGTGCTTAAATAAGAGAAGCATCTGTCTCTGGCAAACAAGGACATTGTCTTGGGAGACTCAAAGCCAGTCATTTTGCTGACCTACTTTATTCCTGTCCTGCAGTAGCACAGAGTATGGGATGCCTTCAGTTACCTTTGGAAATGTGCACCCTTCGGATGTACTGGATATGCCCGTGGACCCCAATGAGCCTACTTACTGCCTCTGCCACCAGGTCTCCTACGGGGAGATGATTGGCTGCGACAACCCAGATGTAAGAGCCTGCACTTGATGGAAATGGGGGAGAAAGGAGTGGAGAGAAGGGTCTTGGATGGAAAGTCTTGTCCTGCTTGGATGGGACCTGATACAGCAAACAGTGGCAAGGAGACAGGGAGTTTGGGAAGGGCAAGGATGTGGCATGCCATGACCTGTTAAGTGCCTCTTTCGTCAGGGTTTTCCTTAAAATGTTTTCTTGCCCCTAAACATAGCAAGGGACAACGGGAATTCTCCTTGCTAACAGTGTGTAGGTTGGGTGTGAGTCTTCATTCCCTGATTGCTTCTCGTGATTTAGGAGTTTGTGATCAAATGCTGGGAATCTCTGGTAGCCCAAGAGCAATGATTTCAAAAGAAAACTGCTCTTTAACTGACTGCTCTCCATCCCAACAGTGTTCCATTGAATGGTTTCATTTTGCCTGTGTGGGTCTGACAACAAAACCAAGAGGAAAATGGTGAGTTAACAAGCAACTTGGAGAGCCCACTGGCCTTTGGAAAGGGGAGGTTGTGGGTGGCAGATGGGAGAGTACACTTGAAAGACCTCATAAAAATGAAAAATTGGATTAAGGTTTTGTTGGGGACCTTGGAAAAGGTCTTTTGGGACCTCATATGTTCGAGGTTCATGTCATGCCCTCAGTGTTGCTTTGCACTTCCCTTTCCAACAGGTTCTGCCCTCGCTGTTCTCAGGAGAGGAAGAAGAAGTAAATTCCCGTGAAACCTCAGAACTGCTGCAGGAGCTCTCTTCCCCCTGCCAGGGCCTCGTCCCAGTTCCCCCAGCCCTTGGGGCCTTGGCTGAGGGGGAGTCTTGCCCTGTTTGTGGTTTGGGCCATCCCTGGAATGGTGTGTACCCTCACGGTGGTTCCTGTGTGTTCTGTTTCCCGGGTTGCTTCCAAGTCCCTAAGGGAGGACTTCTCTGTGTACTATTCCAAACAGGTCTCTGAACCTCAAAGGGAATGAATGAGGGCACCAGGGTAGCCACCAGATTCCCAGGGATTCAGGTAGCCCCTGATTTTCCTTGGCTTTCCTTCAGCCTCCTCAGAGTTCATTGCCTACTCTGTGCTTAGAGAACAAGGCAATGGGATGGGGGAAGGAAAGGAGGTAAGTCTTCAGCATTTTAGGTCATTGATTTTCCTGGATCTTTTTCAGGAGAGAGGGAGTAACCAGGCTACTTCTTAATCTAGTGGGCTGGTTGAGAGACTGAAAACCTGATATGCTCCCTGTCTTTAACCATTCCATTACTGGCATTGAGCAACCTCTTTTGTTGGGGAGAAGTGGAGGGAGTGTTTAGAGCTAGCTTTGTCTCCCTTATTCCTGGGGTAACCCTGCTGGTCTGGGAAGCACACTGTGGGAAGGAGGAAGAATTTCTAACCACATGGGGAGAAGTGGCTTGGTCTAGCCTGTCTTCCGACTCCAGAATTCTGCCTTCCTTTTGTGCAGTGGTGCTTCTCCATTATGTTGATGGTGGAAAGTTTGGGGATTCAGATCCCACTTGTGTAAAACAGAATGAAATAAAATTCATTGAAACAAATACTCTGTTTGCCTTGCTGTCACCTCCAAAATAAACTGTGGCAATTGGTCTCTCCAGTTCTTTCTCTCTTAGCTCTGCTTTTATTGTAAATGATGAATGTGGTACAGCTTTCTCATGTACCAATCCTAAACAGCATTAATAAGTGACATTCTGCATAAGTCAGGCTTGAAAATGTACCTAATGTACTTGCAAAAGGTTACTAAGCTTTCTAGTGGATGTGAAAAACATCTACCCCATCAGTCGTGCCCTCCCAAGAAGGCGGACGTTTATTCGCGTTATTGTTGGATCATCTACTTCATCAGTTGCCTTTTCTTAAATGAGGAAGGGTGGAGGTTATTAAAGCCAACACTCACTCTGGCTGTTGGGCAGCACAGCTGAGAAAATAAGCCATCAGGACAATCCATGTGCCTCCCAGAATGTGGGTAGGTATTTCCAGATATCCTGATAACTTGCTCCCCAGTGGGTCACAATCACCTTGTTGCCAGAAACTCCAACTTGCCATAATGTTGGGCTCCAAAACAATTACCAAAGATGTGTCTCTCTTTGTAGTGTCTGCAGGTAACTGTGAGGAGATGACCCACACAAAAGGTGACCCTTTATCGACTCCATTGGCAGGACCTGGAGAGGGATGAGCCCACATTTCTTGCTGCTTGTGGTCTGCTCATCAGGAAGGTTTAGGCTTTTCACATGAAACACAGAACGTGTTCCTTACAACCTATAACTTGTATGAGGATCCATGGAGGATTTTGCTCTTGTAGTGATGAAGCCAAAGCTCTGCTCGGGTTCAGAGGACTGCAGGTGAAGAGCCATGTTATTCCCACCTTGTCATTGTATGGGGACCCTGTCAGCCATCAGCTCAGGAGCTGGAGTTTTCTGCCCAAGGGAGTTGGCATTGAGCCAGTCTTTGCTTTTTCTTTGAGAAGGGGTCTGTGGGTTCCCATTTTGCGCAGAAAAAAAGTAGAGATGAGTTCTTACCCAGGCTATGGCTCATGTTTTTTGTACTCCTGCCACAGTCTCAATTTCAATCCCCAGATTGTATTAGACCACTCCCTGGGGTTTCCCCTCTTAAACAGAGAGCAAGTAAAATCTGGAAGATGTTGGCTATGTGTCTGGTACCGTTTTCATAGTGGGAGACGCTGTGCCAAATGATCCAGGGGGTGAGAAGGCTGTGGCAGGAGAACAAATTCATGAGCTGGGATGAATTCAGACATCAGCAGGGTGCTCAGCTGACAGAAATGGAGGATGTGGTCTGAACTTGAAGATGGGCTTTGGGCGAAGTGCAAGGGTGACGAAGGACGCAAACAGTCCTCCAAGCAGTTTGGTTTTGAGGGGATAGGACTGGAATTGTAATGGCCAGTGTTAGCAGCAAGTTCTCTCTCTGTGAGCTAGAGAGGTGTTTTGAAGCACTAGCCCTGTACTGAAGCCACTGCTGACCAAGGGTAGTAAGTAGCTTAGAAAAGCATGTGGTATAATGTGAGAGTGTGTGAGTGGGCAGGAGTGTGCTGCACACCAAACCAGCAAACAAGATTTCTTATTTTTCGGATGCTGCTCACAGGAGTAACTCTGTCCCTGGCAGCTCTGGTTGGGGAAACACAAGTCTGGGGTTTTCTGCAGTCAGCACAGGATGCTGGGAGGGGGAGGTAGACTGGAACGCTCCTGTTTTCAGACTAAAGCTTGGCCACAGCGTTACCATTGTGCTTCTTGGCAGGCTGAGAATTGGAACATTCTGATGACCTAATGCAAAACAGATGAGAAACACCTTGGCTGGGTTCTGTTTCAGTGCTAGAAAACAGCGAGCAGTGCTTGGCTGGAAGCACCACTTCCCTGCCACTCTGCTGTTGTGTCCTGCTTCTTGTCCAACAAAGGGGTGCTTCAGCCAGCAGCATGGAGCGTCCAGGGGACACTTGCTGCAGCTGAGGGAATGCTCTGACTTACAGGAAGAGGGAACTTGGACCAAAATTTGGATAAAACCTGAGTATTTATAGATGGCTTTAGAAAGTATAAATGCAAATGAAAGGACATTAAAATCTAACCTTGGAAGGGAGGGAATAAGGGCAATAGCTGTGCAATATTTAATCACCAGAGGAGGGAAAAAATCAGTAGAAGCTGGAAATTACAAAGTACAAAAATGAAGCCAGTGGGAACAAAGCCTGTAAGTGACAAGGCTGGAAACATGAGCAGCTTTTTTTAGAATGCCTTTTGTTTTTGATATAATTGAACATGGCACATGTCCATTACCAACTGCAGATAGCAGAATTGTTTGTAATGAGAGGAGGGGAAGTGTTCTGTAAATATTTATTCTATGTTGGTGCTGGTGTCAATATGGGGATGATGTACTTCCTAGGCAAACAGTAAAGGAGAGTTTTAAATAGCATCTATTGGGGCCAAGACTTTTTTGATCAGCAATCTTCAATAAATTATGTCTGTCGTCCTGTGAAAGCCACCCAAAGGAGTCTGTGGACTGCTTTCTGAAAGGCTCTGGACTGCTAAGGAAAGCCTACAAGGCTGGAAAAGAGCCAGCTCTGTGCTGGTCCTTGACGATGTCAAGAAGGCTGCCACAGCAGTCCAGATGTGAAACACTGGAACAGCAGGGAATAAATTGCTTCTCTCTAAAACAAGCACGAAATCCAGGTCAAGAAAACAAAATTGGTTTGACTGGAAATAGCAATAAAAGGTCAGTCAAAAACTACTTGAATCTTTTTTTTTTAAGATCCTTATTAATAGTTACCTGTATCGCTCTACTGGTAACGGGATCTGAAAAGTTTATTTCTCCTAGAATTGAAGTGCTTAAAGCAGGGTTACATGAAGTTAAAGTAATCATGAGCTCCTTTACAGAACTGGCTAGCTTGCAGATTTCCTGGAACAGCTGTCAGTGCAACATAAACACTTTCTAAAATGGTGCTGGAGAAATTGCCCTTTTAGAGTGATTGGAAATATCCTAGTTGATGAGTAAAGTCAAGTCTGAGTTTTCTGCAGCCATTCAGCACGACAAGAGGGAAGATTTTTCCAGCCTCTTTAAGCCCATTTATTAACAATAATTGTTCATGCACACAAATGACCAGTTTATCTTGTCCAGCTGTGATTGCCCCATCTGTGGGCATCGCTCCTAGGTAGCTGGGCAAATTAGTTGATGAGGGTGTTCAGCAAAGTATTCCCCTTTCCAGCGAGCAGATGTGCTCACCAAGCTCCCATCCCTCAGGTTCTGCCACCACCATGTCCACACCATGCATGATGTGCACAGAAATCATCACCTCCCACAGAAATCATCACCTCCCACCTCACCCCATACCTCAGCAACATCCAACCTTTCATTAAGCACTTCTAAGGGGTTACTTACCCAACCATACACTCAGAGCCATGTGGTGGACATCCCTTGCTCACTGTCTGTTTAACAGATTGTATGAGGCTTCTGTGCTTAAGCAGACTCGTTGAAGCTCAGCTGTAGGGTGTGTTTCTGTGAGACTCAGATTATCAGGGATCAATTCTTATGAGACAGTTACTCAGAACTGGAAACACTGATTGGAAAGTACCCCTTGAGGTTGTCTGCTTCAGCTTCCCCTTCAAAGCAGGGCTGCTGTCGGTCCCAAATCAGGTCAGATATAGGCTGAGTACTGAAACTCTTTGTAGCAGAGCATCTAGGCTAAGAGGCAGCAGCTGTGTGGCTCGAGGTGAAAGGTGATGTTGCTGGCGATCTTAAGGCTCAATTCAAATGCCAGCCGAATCAGTCCAGAGATCTCAGCTTGGCAGTGGAGAAGAAAGACATTCCCAGGAGACAACTTGCTCATACTGAAGTGCCTGAAATAAGCCCACGTCTGCCCAGACACAGCTGGTTTGAGTTTCTGAGCCATTGTCCCTTTTATAATCAACCACGGCTCTACTTTCTCTCTGCCATGTGAACCAAGAAGATGAACTGTGAAAACGTTGACAAGCTGAGTGGCAACATCTGCTGCTCTAAAGCAAGCAAGGGAGACCTGCAGCATTGAAGGAGTTAAAGACTAATAAGAGGAAACAAAATGCCCCACCTTTCTTTCCAAAGACAACTGAAGGAAGGTTCTCCAACTCTGTTGCCTAGTAGTTACAGGATCAAAAGAAACATCGCTGGTTTTATCCAATAAAATGCATTTTATTTATAAAAATAGTCAAACATCTTGATTAATTTATGCTAATTTATGTTTATTTTTCTGAATACATAAAAGAAAGTTAAGTGTTAGTTTTAAAAACACATTTTTGCCCAAGGCTTAAGGACAGGCAAAGCTGTGACAAACACTAAGCTCCTAAGTCTTGGTGTGAAAGAAATGTTCAGCAAGTTGTCCACTTTAGTCTGTTTTTGCAGGTGTACAATTTAATTTCAGTGGGCTGGATTGCTGCCATTAAATAAATAACTCATTCAAAGCTGAAAATCCATCTGGGAGTAGGAAAGGAATCCTTTTTTACACTTTGACAACAAGCAAGGAAAAAATGTGTGAGACCCTGAGATTTCCTCATTCCAAAAGCCTGAATGATGCTGTCACTGGAAGAACCCATTTAGCTACCACAGAAAGACTGAGGTGGGAAGAGACCTCTCTGGTGCTCTATAGCCCAAGCCCCTGCTCATGGTAGGGATAAATCTGTGGTCAGATCAGGCTGTTCTTGCACTAAACAAACCTGCCTAAAAAGACTAGAGCAGTTCGTTCAAATGTTCTTTTATGTAGCCACTCCATCTTAGGTAGTATTAATAATTCAAGAGACCTTTTTTAAATACTGTTTTTGCTATCAATTAAATATTCCATTTTCTAAATGTCAAGTAAAAAATGCTTCATTCACTATTTCCTAACAAAATAAAATGTAAATTAAGTATTTGAATTAATGTATGTTATAACTCTACAGTGCTTGTATAAATGTGAATAGATTAACATATCTACCAAGTTAAAAAGGAGTGTAAATTTTAATGTGAAGTCTATATTTATCAGCATATTCGCAGAGCTCTCAGCCAATGACAGTAAACCCACCAAAATAAAGTACAAATGCAGAATGAAGATTATTTAACCTGTGATTAAACTCAGCAATTCAT